GACTACCTGTCACGGAGGCCCGACCTGGCGCCGTCCGTCGAGGCGCAGTGGATGCTGTCCGCCACTCCTCGGCACGGGAAGGTGTCCCGGGAAAACTGCGGGCCGAGAAATTCCCGCCCCTTTTTTTCGTCGGCGGCGCCCCTGCTGGGCGCGCCGGCGCGGGGCGAGGAGAAGCGAAGGGAGGAGAGCAGGGAACAGAAGAGGGCGAAGAAGCGGCACTGGGAGTTCACCATCCCCGCGGAGGCGCAGCTGAACATGGACACGGAGTCGAGCAACGTTGCGTTGGCAGTGCGTACGGCTGCGGATGGAGACTCGGGAAGTTCGAGTGGTGGGTGGTCTCCCTCTGTGCGGTTTAATGACGGGCTTGAAGTCACCTCAGCCAGCTCTGACTAAATGGCTTGGGCACCCTTGAGGCGATGGAGGGCAATGTGCACATTTGCAGTGCAGTAGGTTGGATGTCTGGTATTAGTCTTAGCCTGGAAAAATGACCAGGATACAAATCCACTGTCAGGCCAGCACTGATTTGTAGTTCAACCATTGTCGAGCGCGGTAATTATTCGGCCCAAATTTCGTCCACCTTGCGTGTTAAGAGCTGCAAACTCTCACAGCCGCAGAATGGTCCCATGGAATGTACACACTATGAATGTAGCATCAAAGAGGAGAAGAATAGAAATAGCCTTTGCACCAGCGATGAATATAGCGATGCTGCAGTGCAGAAACACCTGAATTGAAAGGGGGCGATTCACGCAGCGCCAGTCATGTTGAATGACATACATTTCGCAGGCTGCGTGGCTACACGAAATCTTTGCAGTTCTTGCCGTCTAAGTGAAGAGAAAATGCCCACATTCAATGTGGACACCCTCTTTTCCTGTAAATTCCGAGGATGACCCGCGTTTGCCCAGAGGTTAGGTTCGCCGGAGGAAATTACATGTCTGTTGGTGCTTTCAGGCGAGGATTTGATGCTCCCCGGGCCACCGCAGCCCCAAGGCGCAATGTCCAGCACCGCCAATGCAGCAGACAAGCCGGACATGGGAAAACCCAATGCAGAAGGCAATGCTCAGCGCCCAAATTCCCGACGGGCGCGCCCCAGAAGAGCGAGTCGCGCATCTGCAGGCCCGAAAATGCGGCACGCTCCCGGGCAGCTGCCCCAGAAGTTCGATTTCAGGACCGAGGATTCGCCAGTCCCGAAGGCAGGACGCGGCAAGCAATCCCGGGATTGCAGCTCCGCCACGAAATGCGGAATTTTCCATGCCATTTGGAGCTTGTTTGCGTCGATTTTCAGATTCCTTTTTTGGTGCGGGTCGAGGCAGCGAGGGTCGGATGCTAAAGAGGCGAATGCGAGAGGGCGGGCCGGTGGGTTGCAGGCCTTCCTATTTGATTCAGCGGACGTCGCGGCCGCGGCGTTTGCGCCCGTGCCGACGCGACTGTTCACAGGAGACACGCAGCGGCCACAGCACAGCGTGCTGGAATTGGAAAACAACCAGGGGCGCATGGTGTCGTCCAGGACCATCGAGATCCTGGCGCCCAACCTCCCCAGGGTGTTCGTCGATGGGCCCTACGGGGCGCCGGCGCAGGCGTACATAGGCTACAGCGTGGTCATGCTCGTGGGCGCCGGCATAGGGGTGACGCCTTTCATTTCCATTCTGAGAGATTTGCTGCACAGGCTGGCCAAGCAGTGCCCTCACTGCAGAGCGGTAAGTTCGTGACCATTCTCGCACCGGTCATGTGCCAGTCTATCACTGGTCCACAGGTTTAAGGCGCCAACCAGATAGTATCACAATATCATGGAGAGGATGGAAATCCAAAGTCTAATCCAGACAACCAAATGCATCTTTTATAAATAGAAAGGGTGTGAGAGAGTGCACCACGCAATAGGCATGCACGTGACGGCAAACTCTTTCTGTTCTCATTCTATTGGGCTGGCGGATGCAAACAGGACGGTTTCTGGTGGTAGCAAGGAGGGTTATATTGTCTTGGCTGCGCCAACTGAACCAATTCTAGTCGAGCACACCGTTTGTTTTCGAACAATGACGTAACGCTGAGCATTTTACCCCCACAACAACAAATTAGATAGCGCTCTTTTAATAAAATTCTTGCTGAGCAACGTATAAATAGCAAGAATAAGGCTGCGAAAGGTAAAACGAGGAGCAAGAAGCGCAGCGGTAAAATTCTCCGACGCGAAAGGGTTCAAAAACCAAAAGTAGCTTATCGACGCCAACGTGCGCTGAATAAAGGGGTAGGCACATAGGTTTCATGTGAGCGTATGCGGGAACATCCCGCCTACTGCGCGGCAGGCATGCCGCATACGGCATTCAGGCAACGGTTGCCCACTGAGGTCGATACTCCAATGCCATGCCAACAGGTATCTGACGTGCCCGGCATGAAGATCGAACGCGCGTACTTCCATTGGTTGATACCGTATCAAAGCGAAGCTTCATCTTTCGAGCCGTTCCTGGAAGAGCTTGCCGAAGAGGATCCCCGGTGCATCCTAGACCTGAACATTCACATAACGAGGGACAAGCCCCCGGTGAGGAAGTTTGTCGCCTTTGAAGCGCAGCTCATTCGGCGTTCACCTTCGTGCTGTTTTTCATCAGCTGGCATGGAAGACGAGCACTGTACTATGATCCATCTCCGTGTTGAACCAAGGAGTCCCCTGCTGCGACATGCAAGACGAATGATCGTTTGTGCATCAAAAGTTCACATGCCGTTTTGATGTTTTGAGCATGACAGCCATTGGCGCCTAGAACGGGCTTGGATCCCTGCTTGCATCACCCAGCCATAACGAAGCCAAACATTGTGGTGGTCGAAAACTCAGCAGTGCTGAAAGACGCCGGGCCACCACCTGTAGGAGCAAAACGAGAGCCACAGCTGCGAGGAAGGACGGAAGCCGAAGTCTGGGCTGAACATCAAGTACGGGCGTCCTGACTGGGACGCGGTGTTCGCCTCAGTGCGCGAGAGCCACAAGAAGACGGGCCCCAATGTGGGGGTGTTCTTCTGTGGGCCCCCGGTGCTCGCCAAGAGCCTTAGCAAGACATGCAATCGCCAGACAGCCAAGGGAAAAGTGGCTTTCAGATTCACAAAGGAAATTTTCTAAGTCGGGGTTGTGTGCTATGTCGCCGCTGGCTCCCAACGCAGCTGCGACGAAGCTGCCGATCGCTTCCTCACATCGCGGTGGCACAGGCGAACCGCACAGGCTGCAACGACCCGTTGTGATGACCATCACAGCGGTCGGTATTTCGTGGTGTCATTCTGCAGAGTACAGTGGACCTCGCGCATGGCACACGCAGCTCAGAGGAGTCGCGATTGGAGCTGGCTTCGCTTTGTTCTTAGGACATACAACGTGGTCAAAGGCAAACCATGCCTTTTCCAAATATTCGGTGGCCGTTCTGGAGTGTAGGTTGGGTGCACTGGTCGATGGCCTCAAGTGTTGAGTTCTTTCCGAGCAGATGTCTGCGTTTGTTTGCGGGGAGGACTCGGTGGGGATTCGCCCTATGGTCGGTGGGTGGTCAGCTCGGTGAGCAGAGCTCACCTCAATCGAAGCATTTCGCTTAAGATTGAACTGCGGTAAACAGCGAAGAATTCTTTCTGCAAGGTTTGCTCCTTCTCGCTATCAATGCTCGCACCTGCAACCTGGCGCCAGACGCTGCGGTCAATGTCTCGGCGTCTTGCAGGATGTGAACCAGATTGGTGAACAGTTGCTGCGACTGCCCATGACATGTGCAGTGCAAGGGCAAGCAGCATCGCCAGGTGCCGCGGCAGTGGCAATATGTGGAGCGTATCTCGCGTGGAATACTTTTGCTCAACTCGTATTGCACCTACTTATTTTGCATTGCCTGGACAGCGAGCTTGGTGCCTTTTGGCCGCCTGCATTTCCGCGACTCCTGAATTGCGAAGACACCTGGCGCACAGTGTGTGTCAGTGCCCAGTGGGAAACGACGGAGTTGGCTTCGTCGTGCCTCATGGCGTCCGCACGATTTCGAAGTTCGTGAAATGGTGCTTGGGACCGCCAAGAAGGCGGCAGCCTTCAAGGGGGCGCGAGCGTAACTCTCTTGGTCCTCCTGGTCCTTGTACAATTCTTTGTGGACCATAAGGCAGACAATGCCGGAGGGCTCAGATGTGTCATTCCGCTGCGATGTTCTGTTTGGTACACTGATGACCGCTCAGTTACGACATAGTGGTTGCCCGACCTGACATTATGTTGCTCCACGCGGAATGGAGGGGTTGCCAGTTAATTTCAGTCAGGGAGATTTCATGCGCTTGGTTCAGTTCCCCTACCTTGTTTAGTTATTCGTAATCAGCCCAGTGCAGACGGCCAAGTGCATCCCGCAGTGGGATGAATCGTTTTAATGCTTCATTGAGCATGCTTCTCAACACAGCAAATACTCAGATGCGAAGGCACGGAACAGCGGCAGGAACTGAAGTCAACAATTTGCATAATTTCGCTGGGTCCTTGAGGCCCAACGAGTCTTCCTCAGAGCCCTGGTGCGAGGCAGCCGCACCATGTTCTATTCGGTGCTGGGGGGTCCGTTCCGCGGCTGGGGATCGGCACATTAGGCGGGACTCTTTTGTGTGGGCCTTTATGGCTCCTTCAAATGGTGGATTTGACCTCGTTTTCTCCCTCGGGGTGTCGTGGATATCCCGAATCTGTGGAGATAGAAGCAGACACTGGGGGGCATGTTTACAACACCAGTTGTCTCTACTCTTCGTCAAGACAGTCACTACGCCTTCACGACTGCATGCAGTTCTGTACTACCTGGAGTGTTGTAGGTTAGTGTGTTTTGCCGCAAAAAACGCAACAAAAACGGAAACCCCAGATTGCCCCGTGGGACCCATGATTCTGATTGTGCATTTGCTTGCGCATCAGCAACGCAAAAAAAATGTTAAATGCCCAATTGAATATTGTACTACGGTAAGGAAACCCACCCTCACCCCGCCCATGCAAGCAGCGCCCTCGGCGCCGTATTCCAATTGTAAAAATAATGCAAAACTCGCCTCGAGCGAATTCTAGCATGCACCGAGACCAAAGCAACGCATCGTCGACCAAAACGCACAGCCCCAGCCAGAATTTCAACAGGTCGCACACCAGCAGGCCGACCAAAAATACGACACGAGTTGGTGGAGGCGTGCAACTTATTGGACGCGCAGAGTACCCCCCTCCCCTCCCCACCCCCCTCCCCCTCTCTAGACGTCAGCGCGCCATGTGCTGAATCTCCCGTTCCCAGCCTTCGAGGCAGCCTCCAGGTCTCATTTTCAAATTTCGTGTCCATTGTACAAAGGAGGATACGGCACTCATCACAAACCCTCCACAGTCTTCCATCAACCATGGCAGCACTCTGGCCTGGACGACCTAAGGCGTGCCGCTGACGACGGACAACTCGAACCCCTTGGCCTTCCTCTTCTTTGGCTTGTCGTCGTTGGGCTGGGCGCTGGCTGGCAAGGGAGCGGGCGTCTGCACAAGTCCCCTAGGCACAGGTGCACGGGGGCGAAGCGGGGACTTGCTCGGCAGGCCTTGAAACCACGGCCGAGAAGCCTCCCCAATGGACACATTGGCTACCCGGAACATGGTTGAAGCCGCCATGTACGACCAGAGGAAGGAGCTGTGGTCGAACAGGTACCGGTCGATTCCACCGATGGTCTGGTAACGCAGGTGCGCATGCAAGCCCACAAATGCACACATACCCAGCATGCTGCGCTCAACGCCAGGAATGGGCACCGAGGGTTTGAATTCGGGGTCGCTCCTCTTGCGCAGCGCTAGCGCCAGCTCCGACGCGCCCGCAGTCGCACAGCCTGTGATGGCGCCCACCGCGCTGAGCTCGGCGAACTTCGTGAGCAGGCTGGCAGCGCGGCTCTGGCTTGTGTAGTTCCTCAGGGGGCCGGATGAGTCGAACACATTGTTGGGGAGATTTTCCAACATGCTCTGCCAAGGGAACTTCTTGGCAGTGCCATAAGATCTGCTGGGAGAAAGCATCCAGACCACCATGGACGTTGCGGCTGCAAGGCCCAAGGTGTTGATGGCAGCAAAGTCCAGCTCCTCCATGAAGCGATCTTTCCTCATCCGCACCTCGTAGATGAAGCCAGCACTGATCGCCAGCACATTCTCAAGGATGAGCTTTTGCGCGAAGGCTGGATCTGCCATCAGGCGCCCCACAAATGAACGGGACATCTGCGTACACCAGCAGCACATCACTATCTGATTCGTTCTCAGAGTCAAAGGCTGCGAAAATGCCACTGCACAAGCACATACAAGTGTACACAGGTCTCCATAAGCCATGTTGAGCTCGGTGCTCCTGCCACAAAAAAGACCTGAAACAACTAGTCAGCCAAGCAACCGGACAGGATGCCTGCTGCTCATGCCATCACAGACAACACCTGCAGAGTCCATGCCAGCAGCTCTCCATTGGGCGTGCAGATAGGCACACTCGGCCGTCCACTCACCGAGATTGGGAGCTTCCTGGAGACGGACCTGAAGATCCCAGGCCTCACATCCATTGAGCAGAAGCGCACGAGCTGCGCAGAACTGAAGAGACCCATCTCGACGGCCCTGCGCAGGATGATGGGCAGGTCGCTGAACGACCTGAACCACTCCTCCAACACCGCCGAGATGGTGACCCTGTCGTACAGCTGAGGCAGAACCTTCCGGAAGAAGCCATCGTCCCCGTCGCCATCCCCGTCCCCCTCATCGAAGTAGTCGTCGTCATCGTCATCATCGTCGCCACCCCCACCCCCGCCGTTGGAAATGATTTTGCCAATGCCACCGCCCCCACCCGCATCGGATGTGCGTGGCTGTTGCGTTTTGACCTCCCTCCTGAGGTCCAGTTTGGACCTCTCCAGTGTTGCCCCCCCGCTCGATCCCAAACCCCCACCCCCCAGAGCCGTGGTTGGTGCTGTTAGAAAGGCAGACAGCTCTGACGAGCCTGCCTGTTCCTGGGGGTACCACAGCAAGCGCGCCGTTCAGCACCGGCCCGACCAGACGCCATTGGGTTAGGCTTCGTGCATTCACTCAGTACTTGTGTGGAAGATCAGTTCGGTCTTTCTGCACAGCAAGTGCCATCATCAGGGTCGCTCTTGCCGCGGCTCAGCGTCCCATGAGAGTGCTGAGCTCCAGCGACTTTGATGCTCAAAAGCGGAACGCGAGAAAAGACAGTTGAGAGCAGTCGCTCTCCGTGCCACGTCTGCCATCACCAGTGCCGCAGTCACTGCTCCCCACACAAACGTTCCGTGGAGACCACAAGGCTCAAGGGCCGCAACACACGGCAACGTGCGCGGACTCACACGAACCGCAAACGCGCGCTCCTGAACAAACGCCACCGTCATCCTCGACCCGATGGCCGGCAGAAACGCGAAGCCAATACGCGGTGAGAAATCAACAGGGTTGAGGGCGAGGCGCAGCCACACGGCTGCCCGCCAACTTGACTAGAAATGACGATAGAAACGATGCGCCCAGGACGCCGTCCTGAGTGCGCGCGCACCCTCCCCGCGCGATGCAGCCGCCATCAGCCATCAGATTACTCTCATTCGCCACCACGCGATTCCCGCCGATCACGAAAAAACGGCACGGGGCGGCGGACGCTGCCCCAGAACATCAGACCGAGGGAGCCCGTCAGGCTCGTCGCCTCTGGCTGGCGTTGCGCCGTCCACCCGGCTCCACGCGCCACCCACCTCTCCAGGATGGGCCACTCCGGCCCCGCACGCCACCTCCAATGGCTGCGGCCCTCCCGGCCGCATCCTCTTGGGCTGCCCGCGCCTGCGCCTGGCCAGCGGCGGCAGCGCTGGGGCCGCCCCAGCGCTCGAGCTGGTGCTGGGGTCCTGCTGCCCCGTTGCATGCCGCGAGCGCAGCACGCCGCGCAGCATCCTGGCGCGAGTCTCCGGGAACGGACAACTGAATCAGAGCACAAAGGGGGGCATCAGCGATTCGGAAACGCTGCCAGGCGCCCGACGGTTGTGGGATCGCCGTCCGTGGCGGCGCAAGCGTGAAAGGGGTTCGTGATGCGGCTGGCCGTCGCGATTCAAGCGTCGATTGCGCTGATGGCTGCCGAAGGGCGGAAACCACAACGGGGGATGCGGCCAGGGGCGAGGGCAGGAGGGGATGGGCGGGTTGCGGGGATTGTGCAGCAGTGAGGGGGGAGCTGCTCGTTACCTGTGGAGGCCTGGGGCGGCGGGGCGGGGCGGGGAGCGGCCGGGGCGCGGACGGTAACGAGACGGACGTGTTGGAGTGGGGGCTTTCGGCGGGCGGCGCGCGACAAAGGCTGCGCGCTTGCCGCTTGGCCCATCTCCACGTCACCAATCTCCACCGAATCAGATTCCTGAGGGCCGGTAATGCGGCGCCCCGATCAGCCAGCGTGTGGTGCTCTTTTCGCAGGGAGAGGGGGGGGTCGGTATTGAGCCCCGACTCGGTGGCGTGGGAACTTTCTTTTGTCCTTCTCCAGATATTTCCTACGGAATTTTGGGGCGCGGGACGCCCATACGGGGTCCCGCGCCTTCCCCTAAACCCCAAACCTATGGGAGGGGCCCCAAGGCAGTGTGTTCTTGGGATTTCGATGCAGTCCTGTTGCTGACGTCGGGTTGTTTCGAAACAGCAGCAAGCAGTATGCTGAAGCTGACTTGCGCAGCAAGAGACCGTCTGCAGTGTTGGGACGGGGGATGGCGATGTGACGGCTGTCACGGCCGGAACTGTCGTGTCCGATACGGGTTGATACCCCAGGAAGCACCAGTAGAAAACACTATATTTGGAATGCCAATTGACGCTGGTTGACGCCCTGAAAAGCTGCGTTGATGTTGTCGCAATCACTGTGATGAACCGCTGCTTGTGAACAATGGTATCATTATTGGCATCGCTACGTTGTTCTCTGCCTGTGAAAGTCCTGGTGTGCTGTAAAACGGGAAATTGCCGCGTGGTTTGAGGGAAGATATTTTGGTGCAAAGGGAATTTCTTGCATTTGACGCCGCGGGAATTGTGTTGTCGCACGCAGTGTTCTGCCACGCGAGTTTCTGTTCTCGGGCTGCGAAATGGAGGCGAGCACTCCTGTGCGCCTGTACAGGACGTGTACAAACCGCCGTCCAAGGCAGTCGACGGCATGTAATTAGTCGCTTCGTCTTTTCCGTGAAGATCCCTACTTGTTTCGACACCCTAAACCCCAAACCAACCACTGACCCACTGACCCGCGCTGGCCTTGTCAGCGGAAGAAGAAGGGATTTTCACGGAAAAGACAGAGGGACTGATATATTCTCGGCAGTACTGCCGACTGACCCGTGCTGGCCTTGCCAGCGGAAGAAGAAGGGATTTTCATGGAGAAGACAGAGGGACTAATATATTCTCGGCAGTACCGTCGACTGGCCGACCCTGTGGTCACCGCAACGGCCATGTCAGTGCCACACCAACGTGACACTGTCGTGTGCACTGCTGCTGCGTTCGTGATCAACTGGAGTTCACTTGTTGCCGCGTGTGGGCGCACGTCCCAGTGGCAGAAAGAAAGGTGTAAGCGCGGCAAGCGATCGCGCCGAGCGCTTGCGGTGGCCAGTCCTTGGGCAACGTCGGCCAACGCGTGTCCATTCACGGTGCCATGGGCCTGCGCTTCCATCGCCAGGCAAGGCACTGATAACCCAACAAGCGTGCAGATATGCGATATACGATATGGCCTGCCTTTGCCCTCCTGCATAGGCTCACATGACACATGGCCCATGCCGCAACGTCCGCCCACACTTTGTGGGAAGGCAGTTGAGCTCCAAGATAAAACTGTCGAGAATGCGAATTCGTTTCTGGAGACAGACGATGCAGCATTCTATTCCCTTGCGCCAATCAGCTCAGTTTAATTGCAGCGTCGCAGCCGCCTTCACCGATTCGATGCGGTGAGTGCATCAAGGGGCGCCCACCAAACGCAATGCGGCTGACCCATAGCCCCGCCAGATTGCCGCCACCCGGTGGCGACTGCTGCGGACGAGCTGTTGGACACCCTTGTGGTGTTGGCAGCAAAGCGAACCAGCTCTAACCCTTTGCAGTTGCCTTCGGCAAGGAATCAACTGGCCCCGCACTTTGCTGTCACCGTCGCGCCAAACGACGCACCAGAGGCTGCCCCCAAACTGGGTTTCCTGAAGGGGTACAGAACGAGATACATACGGGTGGACGAAAAGCTCACGGAAATCAACTTGGGCTCAACGGTGGGAGAACAAAGTTCGCCCATTTCGCCCTCCAGCCAGGATTGCGCGAGCTGTATTCTCCCACCATTTGCCCTCGGGGAAAATGCAAGAAAGGGCCCTTCCCGCAACCCGTTTCCTCTCGCGTGCCACACACAAACTACCCCCACCGACAGATTGGCCCGGGGCCCTTCGCAAAGATCTTCCCTCGCAGTGCCCATCAGATGGCGTCACTTTTGCCTCCCCACAAGTCCGACTGGGCGCCCGCCGCTCCGTGGTGGCCCCCCTTCATTGGCCCGCCCCTGCCCCGCCCCTTCCAGCCTGGCGGCCCCCCGACCCTCCATTGCCCCGCACTGGAGTCACGCGGCACCCGGACAGCATCGGGCTTGGCGGTGGCAAGGGCGGGCCCCCTCTCGCCACCAGCGCCGCACCGGACCCCCCTGGAATCCAAAGGGGCGCGCAGGCCGCCTGGATCGCCACGGCTCGGCGCCCGCGGGCGCGACCAAGCGGGAGGCCCTGCCCGGCGGTTGTGGCCTGAGCGCCGAGCGCGGATCCAGGTGCGGGGATCGGTGACGCGGCTTGCGTGCATCGACGCATTGTGCGCAAAGTGTCGTTTTTCCGGGAAGTGTCCGCTTTCTGCGGGTGGGGATTGCTCAAAATTTGGAACGGTTCTGTGTTGGGTGTGGCGGTTGGAGGAACGCCGCCTGGGTTCAGGCGTGCGGACGCGGTGGTGCCCGTTTCGGGGCCGCGCTGCCTCGCATGGGTGGCAGATTAGGGTATTGGCGGGGGCCGATGTGATCTGTGGCGATGTTTTGGGTCACGCGCCCGTGGCTCCGATGGCTAACGTCGGCCAATGTTTGGCGATCGCCTTGTGGGCCTAAGTCGGGCGCCCCAGCGGCGCGGCCCGCGATAGGAGAGATCATTGGTGCCGGGCGTTGGGCACGGGCCACGCCTGGGGTTTCAATCCGCAGCGATGCACGTGGAGCGAAATCCTTGGAAACTCCTTGCCTTCGCGTGTGAAAACCACGCGCTTGCGGTGTGATGGCGAGGGTGCGCTTGTATGCACGTACAGATCGAACATTTGGCGGTTCAGCTGTTGTTCGTGCTCCGCATTCTGCCTCTTTGCCGCGCAAGAGAGTGCCCTTGTGCGTTGAAGGAAAAACACTCTGGACGCGCTTTCAAGTTTGTGCCTTGCTTCGCGTAACACCCGTTGGCACTTTTTGCACTGCGCAAGGCGTCGCGCGTCGCTGACACCGCGCAGTGGCGCCCGACGAAGGCCGAGGCTGCAAGAGGGACATGAAGGACAGTGCTTTTGGAACCCTGACCGATCGCCGAGCGGTCATGGACTATGGGCTGCTTCGAAAGGAAAAACAGTGTGAGCGGGATCAAACCTTTCTGGGCAGAATGCTTACGAGGCGCTGTTGTGCTGTTCGAAAGATGGTGGCAGATCGAGCGCTGCCGTTTCGGGTGTGAACAGTGTCTGTTAGCCCGATAGGACAACAAGTTGAATTCTGGATGCACCCTACCTGGGCAAGAAAATGTGTGGAAGAGCTGTCCAGTCCCAGATTATGATGCGCAAGTATCTGAGTTTGTAAGGGAAGGAGCACGAAACGCAGAGTACAGTCGTGAATGTGCTGGAAAGAGAGGGAGCCGTTTTGCGTTGAGAAGGTGCCATGTGTGTTGTATTGAGAGGGTCCTTGCAGACAGCGTCGTTGGAGATTTGCGCATGCAAAAAATTGGCTGTTTCGTAATCCCATTTGCAGCAAAAGGCACAAGTAGTGGACTGTGTTGCATATACGATATAGTTGACAATTGGTCGCCTTAAGGAACGATAGGATTTCAAATGTTGTTATGCTGAAAACTGCAGGACAATGGTGGCTTGCTGACAAGGGGTGGTTAGATTTTGTGCCTATTTTCTGTATGGACTGGCGATCACACTAAGAAAATTGGTCTGCTTTGGGCATTGCTGATTGGCTGTGTTTGCTGTGCCATTAGCTGTGGTTTGTACATACGTGAGTGCCAGCTTGTTGCTCATGTAACACATGGGTAGCGTGACTTGTCATATTGTGATATATGCCTTCCATTTCTTGTTTATGCAGGAGGGGACCCTGTGTGGCTTCCACACGTCTGCTGCTCACAGCATATGGCTTAGGTTTGGGCTTTGCAACATATGGGCGAAGGGAACAATTGCAGACAGATGCAGGGTGCACCGGAGCCCTGTGCAGCAGACATGGCCCCACACGCTGGAAGTGCAGATTCTCAGGTGGGTTGTGCCCCTGTCAGCAGCCCGATGTCTTCTTCTGCCAGGATAGGGGAATCTTACATCTTGGCTTTCCTTCAATCCATGGATCGCTTTTGTGAAAGGTACAGGGCAAGCAGTGTTTTTGAAGGTGGTGACAGGTGCAGGAACATCCAGGCAGTGTTGGTCTTCAACGCTAATGGGTCCTGCATGCTTGCACAATGTGCAAACGATGGCAGAGTTGCTGCCTTATTTCATTTGATGTTGTATATTGCAGGATTATGTATTTTCATGTTCTATGTTGTACGCATTTGATTAGTTACTTGACTGATATTTGATAGTGAGGTCCTTGTGGGCTTCTAGAATTGGAATGTCGTCAGATTATTCGCAGCTCAAAAGAAATGGAAGCAGGTCATTGTGGCGCTGATGGTCTGTGCTGATGCCGCACAGGGCCATGGACTATATCCTTCTCCCAACCTCCCCAGTGATAATATTGCTCTCAGTGCTGAGGTTGAGCGGCTGCGATCTGAGAAGCAGAGTATGGAGGCTGCACTCCAGTCACAAATTGCAATGAGGCAACAAGCAGAGGAGGTGTGTGGCTTGTGGGTGGGGGGTTAGGGACGACTGCTGCGCATGCCTTTTTGTGTGTTTTCAAACACCAGCTCTGAGTAAATTCATCTTTGAATTGAATTCGTGCTTTTTGTTTTTCATATTCTCTATACAAGTGAATTTTCGCAGTGGTGTGGAAATTATTTCCAGGAGACAAATTCTGTCAGATTTGGACTGTAGAACAATGCTGCACCCAGCGCTCTGTCTTTGCGCAAAGTGTGCCTGGCAGTCGGATTCCAATCCAACCGATTGCTGGACCTGACACGCAAATTGTTCAACTTAAATAAAGTGGTTGCTGTTGGCCCAGCAATGGGCTGATAACTTTCGCTGGGGTTGCTGCCTGTTGATGAGCTGGGATGATTGTTTGACTGGGTCCACAATTGCACTATTGCTCAGATGGCTTTCAGTTTACTGATGAGTGCACTTTATGATAACTCGTCCTTACAGAAACACACACTGCCTTCTTTGGCAGAGCATGCATGCCACAAAGTTGATTTCAAGTCCAGCTGTTGAGCCCATAGTTGGAATTCTGAGCGCTGAAATCAGGCTCACAGGTTCTGAATATGTCAGCAACTGTTATTTGGATGCAGCTCCATGCCCAGGCAGAGCGGGTCATGGCAAAATCGGTCTTCCAGGGTGGGAAACCTGCTCCCAGCATCCCCGAGGAAGAGACTGCAGTATATGAGCAGTTGAAGGAAGAAAAACAAGCCAGGTCAGGGAAGGCAAGATCGTTAATATGTTTGTCGAAATTAGACAATGTATGTGCTGTCCCATGCCAGGTGCCAATGGGTACAAATACATTGCCTCGCAGTGTGCACACCTCCACTCACAAAGGCCCTGGTAACAGAGCACAAGCTCACATTGCACTATACGACTGACCGGCATGGCCTACTGACAGGTAGACAAGAACAGTCTGCAGTGATGGGAGTGGGGCGAATGCACCGCAGCACTCGTGCTACTGAGTTGTTAGAATTTTTACATTTTTTCCTCTTGTTCGGGATGGGGCCGGGATTGTTCTGGTGATGGCACTCAGCTTTGAAGGCAGGTGCTTAGATTCGTGTATACATGATATATATGTATTTTCTCTCTGATGGTTAGGACTCCCCGGCATGGATACTGGATGCTGACCGAACACTGATGCTTTTGTTCTATCTCATTGTTTGGGACCCTACATCGGAAAAAGGATCCCGTTGTGCTTTACAGTTTGCAGGGAAGCTCCTTGCTTAGATCATCCTGTAATACATTGGATTTAAAAAAAATTGTACACGTGTGAAACGCGATGTGCAGCAAGCTAAGCACTGATTTTGGGTTTTCCTGTCGATGCAGATTGAGGCTCGAAGCTGAGGTGAAGCGCTTCATAGCAGAGATGAAGAATGAGGACGGTATCCGCCTATCCTCCACAAGTGGTCTCAACATTTGTGAGGAGCTGGAACAGCTCCATGACGTGTCTCGGCAGCTGAGTGCTGGATTGGAGGATGAACGTGCGCGCAGGAAGAAAGCAGAAAGCTCATTGGATGTGACGATGGGCGAACTTGCCCATGCGGATAAGAACAGGTACAACATCGACAGATGACGATTGATGGGAATGGGAAAGCTGAATGTTAAGATATTTTGGTTGTTTTCATACAGGGAGAATTTGATAGCAACAACGCATTGGTGCGCTTCGGTATGTTGCATGCAGACTTATATTTAGAGGAACCATGCAGGCAGAGACTTGTGCAAGACATGGAATTATCCTGGGGCCAATGCGCTGATCCGGGTTTCAAACAAGACTGCCGCTTTGTGCACATTTTGGCCTGGTAGTGGAGTCTTGTCACACATCATATGTGCACATAATCCTTGTTTGCTGACAGAAGATCTGTTTGAGGTGTTGGATGGTGAATGGCATCTGTGCTATGTGCGCAGCCTTCGTTGAATACTATCCCAATATCAGCAGTGTTCAAGTGACAGCTAGCGCACTGCTCGAAGCACATGTTCTTGCCTTGAAGCCATTTGAATACCTTGTTCATGGATAGGGATATTACCATTTGTTACATTTCTTTCCATTGATATCGATGTACTTGTTGATGTTTATGTCCATGCTTGATGCTTTGGTTGAAGACAATGTGGTCCTCCCAGGTCCAAGCTGCAAGCTGAAATGAAGGAACTACGGAGCCGGCTGCACTCCCAATTGGAAATCAAGAGCCAGGTGGATGCTGTGAAGGAGCAAACCCGCAGGGAAATCGATCTTGTGATGCGCCGGTCAAAGGGAGAGATCGATGAAGAGTGCAGGCAAAGGATGAAGGCAGAGGGTGCACTTGATGAAGTGCTGAAAGAGATCACAGAAAGCGAGCTGGCGAGGTGAGATCAGACCTTTAGTGGCTGTGACCAGGGTCCTTTTGAGGGGTTTAGATATTTTCAGCGGTTTTGATTGCGCAGTGGCAGCTGCATTGAGCTCTGCATGTTCTGGTGGCAGGCGCAAGGCTGAGATTGCACAACGAGAAGCATGCCGCTCCCTGGAGAGTGAGCGCAAGGCTCGGAAGAGGGTTGAAGAGGAGCGCAGAAATCTGGAGGGAGTGGCACGAGAGCACCACAGGTGAAACAGACAGTTTGGGTATGAATGGAGCAACAATGCTTGCAACCGCAGAATATGCAAATGCACTCCACGAATGCACTCCATGCATTAGTACCCCAAGTTATGGTTCTGCTAAGATTTCACTGTCATGTGCCGATCCATCTATTCCTTGTCCCCTAGCTATGACCACAAGGTAGACATGGTGTTGAACACACAGGTTGCTCTACTGTTTAAGGGGCCTGCCCGCATCTTGTCATGCCCTAAGTGAATCTTGTTGCAGCAGGGGCTGTTGACTGATTTGTTCCTTCACCAAATACCCATTTACTGGCAAGGGCAGCCTTAACTGCAGAATGTGGGGACCTTGCACCTGATTCATGCCAAGGATGCAGCAACCAGACAGCATTGGATTGGCAATTCATGTGTCTATCTGACAATTCCTTGAATTGCTTCAATTGAATTCCTTGTTTCCAAGGAAAAACGGACTTTGGGAAGGAATGTGATGGAAGAATGCAAAGTTGTCCAAACAGTTGTGACAGACAGAGTCTTTGAGCATTGCTGGTGATGATGGTTTGCTTGTCTGTGCTGTGGAGGATCTGCATATGTTAGCACCTGTGGTTGGTTGCAGTGGTGTAAGAATGCCAATTCCAATGCTGGGTTGCATGCTGGCTGCTGGCTGTTGCAGGCGTCGTTCCCAGGCCGAGGCAGCCAGCAGCCAGCTCAGGGCAGAGGTGGAGGCCCTCAGGAAGGAATGCGACCGTCTGAGGCATGGCTTGAAAGATGAAAAACAGCAGAGAGACGTGGCGGAGACTGCTTGGAAGGTGAAACTGGCGCCAGATTTGCCACATCACATGGGTGCTCTATTGAGCATTGATTATGTGTCGCCAGATCTGGACTTGGGAACGGGCTCTGTAAACTGCAAACTTTGGAAACCTACAGAGCTGACGTGTACTTGTGGGTTTGGCTGTTGTCTGATCAGGGCTTCATAATGCACTAATGGTGCATTCTTCAATGGCTTGAGTTTCAGACTGTCAAGGCCCTCCAAATGTGTAGACATGTAGCAATTGGGCCTGTTGTGTTCTGGGAGCTTGGGTATTTTGTGCACGTGGATCTTCTTGCTGATGACTAATTTTGGGCTTAAAATGGCATCTGGAAATAAGAATGCACAGTTGCACTGCTCGACTTGGTGCTGTGTGTAGAGCTTGGCAAGAAATTCATCACGTAATGGTGTCACTTATGGCAGCATAGAAGGGTGAGAATTGTCTGTTTGGCATTGCAGCGACTCTGAGAACATAGCCTAACAATGCCCTGCAGAGTTGTGCTGCCAACTCGTTTGATTATATCAGTTTGCCAATATAGTGTCTTCTTCGAAAACCCTCATAGCTGCGAGTTTTACAACTTTCATCTTCCAACCAGTCTGTATTAGGTGTTTCTGCATCCTTGCATGGCACCTGCAAAATGATGATAGACCTACATTCTTTACCTTGGATGGGAATGGCGCCTGAACCCTGCAATGTGCATACAGAAATTGGTTAAGGAAATGTATTGTATAAGGAAATGGAGGGTAAGTAGGTCAGTGTTGTCCATTCACAGGAGACAGCACGGCGGCTACATGGAGAGCGTGCTATGTATGCCTACTGGGTGAAGAAGCAGAATGAGTTCCAGGGAAAGGGATGCAATGAGGTGGAGGAGATCCCTTATCAGGATGCTGACACCAACTGGATGGATCAGGCCAGGGTGGACAGTGGCATACCGAGGCACACCAGGCGGCTGGCCAGACTTGAGGAAGCAGATCCAGAAGGCATTGCGGCCACGGGGTAATCGTGTTTGAAATCCTGTCATCATCTTTGTGTGTGTGTTTCTTGTTGGTGTAAGCCATGTGGGCTAGTGGGTTCGGGTCGCTCCAAGGCGACTGCAGTTTTGGGTCTCTCGGCAGCCCAAACTGCTATTGTCCAGGTGCAAATTCAATGAATGGGGGGGAGGGCTCCCTTCGAATAACCGATGAAAGGGTGTGGCCAGAATGGAGAAACAGACACAGTGTTTTCCCTTTGCTTGTTTGGAGGAAAACGCTGCAAGTCTTTTCGTGTTGTTCATCAGATTGCCTGGAATATTAACACTAGAAAGTGTGGTTTCTCCCTCACAGACAAGCAGATAGCAGACATGCATGCAAACTAGCACCCTGGCCTCTGAAAGACATGAACATTGTCCACTTGAAGAAAGTGGGCTCGTTGTCCATGGTGTGCTGCGCATTACTTGGATAGAAGGCACACTGCAACATGGGGCTGAGCTGTCACAAAAGCACTGTGGTTAAGTGCAAGAGTGGCTCACAGTGCTGGACCTTCATAGGGAGAGCGTTTGCTGAAAACTGAACCTGCAGAGAGCTATTTTTTTTCTGCGTTCCTTTTGAGTTGTTTTTGTGCGTCACCAGATTGGCAATGCCACCCTCTGCACAGAGCGAATGGGATGCAGCCCCGAGGACTGCCATTGCACCAACCAGCGCACTTGGCTGTGGCACAATGAGCTTCGATGGTTTGAAAGCTAGTCACCGTTGGCAGGCTGGCAACAGACCACTGGCTGTGGACTACAGGGCTTTGGAGATAGGGGATGCCTACAGGAGCGGCATCGGTACTTTTGCACTTGGGACAGAGGACATTGCCTTGGCACAGCAGGGAGCTTCTCAAGGTAAAGGCAGCCAAGATTGCCCTGTTGGCACTCTTGCGCTATGCTGGTTCGTATCCCCCTCAACCCTGTATGTGCCAGTGCACTGAATAGTTCTTCCTGATATGCTGAGGAGTTGATTGTGTGATGTGATTTGTTGCTATTTCAGTTGTGTTTTGCTTGCTTTGTTCTGTGCTTTCTTCTTGCTTTTGTTGCGTTGATTGTCATGTTGCTCCTTGCAGAATGCAAGGAAACGAACTGGTTTGTGTGATGATGTGCTGTTGCCCCTGGCAGTGACAGTGGAATAGTCTTTGCTGATCTGTCATCTTTTGCGTGCGACTTTCAGTCCAGTACTCCTGAGTCCCCTCTACAACATCTGCCTGTCCGCATATCGGTGAATGCTACCATCATCACTTCGAAATCGGTCCATGGCTGCAACGGCTGTAGTTTGTAATTCTGCCACCAGTCAGCCCAAAAAGGATGTCAGAACAGAGCCATGCTTTCCTGGTTTTTGTCCCTTCTATTACGTGTGGTTGCGTTTCCTCTGATACTAGAACAGGGCATCACACTGCAGAGATTATGTGCCACCCTTGTCTTTGTTACAGGGATACAGAGTCTGTATTACAGTCTGATACAGAGTCTGTACTACAGACCTTCTGCCATCATTCAACTATATGTGCAGCCGATGTGAGGATCACCAAAGTATTGACCACCAGAAAAAATGTGCATGAATTCGAAATCCGAGAAGTCCAGCACATGATATGCGATCTGCCAGATCGCATATCATAAATCACAATTTGCCCTGTGGTGATATGCATTTTGGTAGGCCCATTCCCAAGCATTGTTGATATTTATCTGCTCACAAGGAGTGTCAACGCCAGAAATATTGGCATCTTCACCCCACTCTAGAATGCCTCCTAATGGAAACTGCAAAGGAGAAACTGCTGATCGTTGTCCCCCGTTTGGGGCAGCTGTGTTGCACCACATCATAGATGAAGTGGCCTGCGTTAGTGAAACCAGGCATTTTCGCATGACCACAGTGAATTGATCTGGAATCTGGAAGAAGAATCTGGAATCTAGAAGCAGGAACAAGGTGGTGGTGTGTTTTCTTGCAATCCCCTCTTGCCTCTGAACCAGTTGTGCCCTGCATCCAGGCCCCTTCCGTTGGCTGCGGCACCTCAGCCCATTGCGGCCAGCGAAATGGGTGGTGAGCCATCGCGGTGACATCACGCACCACACTGGCAAGGTGCTGCAGAATTTCTGGACGTGGGTGATTGTGGTCGGGGTCGTTGCTGGTACCATAGGCCTGGGCGACAGTGACGATGGCGATGAAAGGAAATCTGACAGGGAGGCGATCGAGGAGATCCAGCACGGGCCCCCTCATGTGTTCGTCAGAGGTGGAGGGGGCACCATCTACGGTGCAGATTCCTTCATGGGTTGAAATGTACAAGTCGTTGCTGACGTTTGTCTAGCAGTAACAATACACAGTGCTTGCTCGTGCAAATCAGTACTGTCCAAGAGTGAGCAGATTGTCCATGATTCAATCGCCGTCGATGCTCAGGCCCCAAGGAGTGGTTCTCCTTTTGTTGAAGGTAAGGTTTCTGAAGGATATTTAAGCGCTCTGGGGGCCCGGAGGTTGGGGCCTGGCACTTAGAGTTTCCGACCAGATCTTTGTTGGATTGAGAGGACTGGGACAGCTGCACATGGTTGCAGTCTCTGTGAGATCTCTCGCCTCTGCAAGATCCTGCAAGAAATGAGAATGGTGTCAAGGAAGGAATATTGTGGAGGGTGACGCCTTCCTGCAGCCTTGTTCGCCACTGGGAGTTCATTTCGAGAAATGCGGATGGCCTCAAAGGTTGGGTACTGTCGGAGTTTGTTTTCCTGTAGCCATGCTCGGCTTGTGAGATACTGCAAGAAGAGTGAATGACGTCAAGTAGGGACAGTGGTGTGGGAAGCTGGGTTTCCTTCCGTTTTTGCTATAGCCAGTCATAAAGCTGTGCTGGTTGAAGGGGTAGGTGGTTTTGCACGTTAAGCCGCCATTCACAGCGGGCATGGGCTCATGGTTGCCGTGCTCCCATAGTGTGTGTGTTGGTCTAGGGCGACTCTGCAGTTGTCTAGGCAGGCCGCTTTGGCCAACAGCCCACTTCAACCTTTACTATGCGTGTGGTAGCAAGTCAAGCTCTGTAACTCATCATACTGTGGTTGCGACTTTGGGGTTTCTGTGTAAGGTTAAACGACGGGACGTTGGTTGCTCAATTCGATTCTTTCCGGGGACGCCATGCGGGGAGACTGGAATATTCCTCAGCCGTGCCTGATTATATTTGAAGTTTGGCGTGTTGCCCGTGCGTTGCTGGCAGTGCATCCAAGATGATTGGCACTGCGTGCGGCGAATTTATTGGTTTGTCTGGCGCAGTGGTAGGGATGGTATGGGCACAGCCTGGTTGTCTAGTCTCGCTACTGGTTTTCACGATCAAAAGGACGAGTGTCTTAATGTGGGCATGTGGTTGAAGTGTTGCTTTGTGACGAGTGGCAGGTGGCACCGTTGTGAGCGAGAAATGAGTTTGAATGTGGCTGGTTGTGTGCCTGTTTGAGTTTGTCGCTGCGGATGGTTGTCCTCAGGCAACAGGAGGTTCCAGGCTGCATACCTTCGTTTCGCTGTCTCGTGCATTCTTCCGGTTGCGCTGTCAGCCTGGCGGCACTTCACAACGCTCTCCGGGCTGCTCCAGCTGCTGACCCAGAAACCCCACCCGGGTCTCTTGGGGTGCCTCCACAACAAACTGGACAATGAAGCTCAGGGCAAGGACGACCACTCTATCCTCCGGAAACGTGCCTGATCTAATAATATAATATAATATAATAATATAATATAATAATATAATACGCCGCTGGTTTGACACAGCGCGGTGTGCGGCAGAAGCATGCACGAGTTCCCCACCTTGTCTGTTCGGTCTCCCAGACACGTCCACATGTTCTTTTTTTTTTAATTCCAATGTATTGCATCAAAAGATAAACAAAGGATCTCCCCCACAAAGCGTAAAGTATGCAAAGACGTCCACATGTTCACACGCGTGCAAAGACATTGCCTTCCAAACGCAGTCGGTGTCTCCCGCAGTTCACAGCCCGGGGGCTCACAACTCGATCGTGCCCGCCCACATATCTAATAATTCATGTTGGTAGAACCTGCCCGCACTCGTCCACGGCGCAGGACCAAGCGTAGATGGGGGTCCAGGGGAGAATGTGTTAGTCCCTCTGTCTTTTCCTTGAGGATCCCTTCTTTTTCCGCTGACAAGGCCAACGTGGGCCAGTGGGTCAGTGGTTTAGGGTTTGGTGTGTCGAAACAAGGTGTGATCTTCGCGGAAAAGACAGAGCGACTAATTTCATACCCAAGCTCTCCTTGGACCGGGATTCATGCCCACTCCTTGGTCCCAGGAGAGCTTGGGGAGCGGTGCATTCAAGAAATAATACTACTGCCTGCACCAAATCGGTGACTGCTTGCACCAAGTCACGTGCACACTTTGTCCTAACCTCAGTTTTAGGGTTAGGTTTAGTTCAGGGTGAGTTTTAGGGTTAGGGTTAGGGTTAGGAAAGGTTTAGGTTGAGGGTTTAGGGTTTAGGTTTTAGGTTAGGTTAGTTTCGACGGAGTTGGACATGATGTGCACGTGACTTGGTGCAAGCAGTCACCGTTTTCGTGCAAGCAGTCACCGATTTGATGCAGGGAGTAATTTTATGCCTGCATTCAACCACGTCAGCACATCCATTGACGGGGACACGGACGCGGCCGATCTTTTCCCAAAGTATCCATCGCTGGGGCTGCCTCCGCCGGGCGAAGGTGGTGGCGGGCCTTTCGTGGCTTGCGCCGCCAATGCTGGTCCACCGCCGCTTGGCGTCCAAGTTCCCGGGGCGGCTGGCTGCGGCCGCTTGCCTGCCTTCCAGTCTGCCGGGCCCACCCCGAGCACCCGGACTCGCACGTCCGCCGGTCGCAAGCCGGGGGATCCTGAGGGCGGGTCGGCGCCCAATAGCGGCCTCCCTTGCGCGCTTGCGTTGGGTAAGATTGTCGCAAAGAGAAAAAGACACAGGTCATGCAAAGGGCACGCTCTCTCCTGGGCGAGTTTGTGTTAGACTGTTTGCCATGCTGTGAGAAGATGATGCAGAGCCTCCGGGCTGCGTTGGGCGACACAGGCCGCGGGGCTGTCGAGCGCGGGGGCGCCTGCGGAAGGCGGGGAGTGGTGCCGGGTGGTGTGCCCATCGGAGGAGACCACCGTGCGCTTGGCCGCGGGCTTCGCGGCGGAGCGCCGCGGAGGGGACTGCTACTGCCTGACGGGAGGCGTCGGCGCAGGGAAGAGCGTGTTCAGGTTGGTTGGCGGGACTCCCCGAGGAGCGAGGGAAATTAGGGCTGGTGGTTGATCCTCTGTCTGGTGGGGTGTGGCGAATGAGTTGTTGATCATATTTCTCCCGGCCATTTGGCGACGTTCTTGGCCATGATCGATGATCTGCAAAGGAACACGGGGCGTTCGGGATGAGAGTACTCCTCGGAGGGACTCAGTATTAAGCAGCAAAGGCCTTGCTGCGAGCTGCAAGCTGTGGGCTGCTGAGGTGGCGACAGTTTGGCGCTAGGTTTTGGGACCAAAACTGTGGCTGGTCAGCTAATGGGGATGCAACATTCGGAAGAGGGATCACTTCACTGATAGGAGGACCTTCTGAAGTAGCCGAAATTGTTTGTTCTTAGAACAAACATCTGGAGGTGGGCACTGTGTTGGAACAAACATGTCCAGCGTAGCCAGCACGATGTTCATTCGCTCTAGGCGGTGCAAGAATATGTGTGCCAGCACAACATTCTTTCAGTGGCGAGGCAGCAAGGAAATTACCAATTTGTGAATAAGCCTCACCCACCTTTCAATCTTCAGGCCAGTGTCACTGCCCTGCCTACCACGTTGGGGGGACCAGGAAGATGGGCTGGTTTGCTTCCCCATCAAGTTCCAAGGAGTCGTGTTGCATTTGCTGACATCAATTGATCATTCCCAGGCACCTGTCAGGTGGTGCATATGCTTTGATTGCATTGCCAAACAGTAGCGAAACCAAGCACAGCAGCGTAGGCAGATTTCCACGTGCAGACTGCATCAAATATGTTCGAAATAGAACAAGAGTCCGTATTGAATCCTTTACCAACTGCAGCAGGTATTTCCCTATCTTCATGCTGAAGCAAGTAAATCATATCAGGCGACGAAAACTCCCAAGGATTTGGTGGTGTAAGGCAATGTGTGTGTGTGTTTTCCGTGTCGTGCCCAGTGCCACTGCATCATCCCAAAGCATTTGCTTTGTCCATACTTTCGAGTTGTCGACACTCTGCCTTGTTGCGAATGAACTGCACCTAAGCGTGGCTGATTTTGCAACCACTCTTTGCCTGTGCTCCCACACAGCCGTGGATATATTCGGGCTGCACATGAGGATGACACCCTTCCAGTACCTTCCCCCACCTACCTCCTCCAGAACATCTATGATGAGTGCCACGGTAACTGAGGTTTGTGGATGTTATGTTTTGTAACAATGGTAGTCGGGAAGTGGTGGCTTAACCCAATCATTGTCGATCTACGTTGAGACTTATGCCCAACATTGCCTTGCAGGTGCAGGGCCCAAGCGTTGCAACTGTTGCCAAACATAAGAGAATTTACCCTATAGTGTCTGCGCTAGCCAGCGGAGGCGATCGTGGGTCTGTGGTCTGATGTGTGTCCCTGCCATGATTGGATTCTTGTTGTTGTCATTTTGTGACAGAGCAAGTTGATAGAAAATGCTGATGCACAGGATGGCATGCGCCTCGGAATGCGCAAGTTGTGGAGTGTGTGGAAGTTCATAGGCATCAATGCAGCCCTGCCAGCAACTGGAATTCACATGAGCAACTGTTCCACAATCCAAGCCATTGTGCAAGCATGATGCTGTGCTATGTAGATGCCCATCTCCACAGGGTGGCAAATTATCACTGGCTATTCTTGTGGCTTGTGGTCAGGCAATGTTCTCAGCTGCAGCTGTCTATTATCAAAGAACGATGATAGGATGTTCATGCCTAGCGAGTGGAGCTGCCAACCTGGGCCCTGTTCAGCAGGGTGAACTGTGCATTCAAGCAGCAAACTGTAGAGTCGTTTAGTGCTCAGTACGGACTGCAGCCTTTGCGATGAGAACAACGGCTACAGCACATAGCTGGCTGCAACAGACCCAACATGGGAGCTTTGGTGCGCAAATGCATAGCAGGCAAGCAGCTAGTACAATGCATGGGAAGCAATTTTGCAAAGCAACGAATGTGCAGCCTGCAAACCTTGGAACAGGAGTGCCCACTCTGAAATCATTGGACAAGATCCCATACCGTAGTGTGCAAAGGCTTGCAGCTCAACCATGGTGCACACACAAGCAGTCTGGTTTGGGCCCCTTTTTTCGCGGCACAAGTGTGGGTTACACACAGAAGTCAGGCTACCAACATGTTGAGTGTGTCATGCTCCTTTGGTAATGGGCAACACTTGCCTCCATGCACACATCCTCTCCTTGATGTATTGGCACATCCAACCAGCCAGCACTGCTCCCATTTGGGGCCCTTTGAATTCCCAAAGCCAGATTAGCTTTTGTGGCCAGTAGAGGAGTCTGTGCTTGGGCTCATGTTTGAGATCATTGTGCAGGCTCAAAGGCTGTGCTTTAGTGCTTGACAGATAGCTGCCAAAGGTTTTTACACCCACACTCACTGTCACTGTTCAGTAACGTTGTTTGCTCATTGCAATTTGAAGGTGCTCCAATTCACCACTTTGACCTGTACAGACTGTCTGGCGGAGCCAACCTTGGTCGTCTGTCCCTGGATACATCCTTCAAGAGTGCGGTGTCATTAATTGAGTGGCCTGACAGACTCCCAGTCGATGCACTGCCTGAAGATCGGATGACTGTTGAGATTGCTATGCTAGATCTGGTAGGCACCAGCTTTGCTGTGTGATTGATTGTAATCTGCTTTATTCAAATGCATTGCAGCACAATTGAGAGTCCATGTTTCGACCACATCTGACAGAAGAGATGAGGGCCTTCTGTTTCCCCTTTTGCTATTGCTAGTCAGGGCATGTGGAGGTTCTACACTAAATGGCACTACTGTTCCCTTGTATGTTTCCATTTCTTCAGTGCGTCATGGGTTGCACCAAACACAACAATTTACAATAATGATTATGTCTGTACAGAGTTTAATGTTCAGGAACCCCAGATCCGGACCTATCGCACACACCCAGGCCGGACTCTGCACAGCTGGTGGCTGTGTTGCCATAATATTGTCCCTTGAAGCCAGAGCTATATTCCCACAAGTATTTCGAAGTATTGCTTTGGCACCAGGAGTAGGAAGCAAGGGAGGCAACTGAGGGCTCTTGGGCCTTGTTACACTAAGTTCTCTGTCCTCCATGAGATTGGCATTTGTTGACCTGAGTTTGATAATGCAGCCAGGAATCTGACCACAAATGCAAGGGTGTGGGATAATGGGGCACTCGGCAAATGGGAAACACAAGTAAAACATGAGGACAAAGAACAAGAGATGCTATTAAAAGAGCACGTGAGAACCCACGTGGACGAGGTCGTGCACTATGTTGCTTGTTCTCACGTCACCGTGGTCTGTTCATGATCAACAGGCTTTGAAGCAGGATGTGATGAAGAGAATGCCCAGTGGACTGGTAGATACTGAAATGGCCACTCGCTTGGATGACGGTCCAGAGGTTGATGGAAGCGAATGGGAAGATGTTGCTTGGCGGATGGTCAGTTTCCTTCCCCACGGAAAAAGACACCAGCAGCTGCAGGACAACGTCCTTCGACATCTGCTTCCTGTGGCACAGCTAGGTTTGTGAAACGTACAATCGAATGGCTGCACCAGCCCTGCTGATTTCTGATGCCTAGCTGTAGCTGTTTTGCATCACACCAATGGTTGTCTGTTGTAATGATGAAGTGGCGGTTGTCTGTGCCAAGTGGAGGTGCGTAACATGTCATACCCGGACATTGCAATGCTGCATCATATGCCTGTCAGCAGACCAAATTGAAGCAGCTGCAGAACTTCCCGCCTGTGTTAGGAGGGAAGTGCCCAGCGGTGTGTGAACAAACTAGAACGCCTGTTCTTCTCTTATTGTGCCATAGCTACATGCACCTCTCCACGTTCCATAGTGTCATTTCTGGCATTTGTTTCTTTTCCTGCAAGTGTCCAACTCTGCGAGATGTCCTTTGACCACTGATGTTGTTGCCACGGGCTCTGCCTTTGCAAGGCACTGTCAAAGGAAGGCGCAGGGGGGTGGCAAGCATTGTTAAAAGCACATTTCAATGCATAAGATGAGACTTGACGGTCATCATATATGCTTGTTGTGAATTCAGTGGTATCCAGCTTTAAGGCTCGATTTGACTCTGTTTTCAAAGTTCTGTGCCGGAATTCGTGTGTTCCTAGTGTGCGACGTTTGGTAAGGGCAGCAAAACGTGCGCTGCTAACCCTGTGCTTTGACTGATTTTGTCGGCATTGCCCAAAATTCCATTTTCCTTGTCATGTCTTTGCAGGGGTATTTCTTTTGGCCGAAGAATCGAGAGTGTAGTCTTATTCAACAGGGATTCTGTGCGTTGGCTTGAGGATGATGCACAGCCCAATGCATGAGGAATACGATTGTCTGGAACCGAAATCTATGACATGTGCCATCGCAACCAGGAACTTGCCATGGTCAGTAGCACACACTATGTTTGCCACCGCAATAGAAACAAGTGTCGGCACTGGGACGTCTCTTTGGGACCTGATCTGCCGTTTGTGAATGTGCTGGACGCGCAACTTGCGAATGGAACCCCCACAAGACGGCCCTGTGCAGCCATCATACTCATTCGTGCCACAGTCTTCCCCACGATGATAGGTCCGAAGTCAAGCACAATCGCCTCTGCATGCAGCGGGCGACCCCAGTTGAAGCTCGGCAGCTGTTCCCGACTTTCTTCTGTCAGGGTTCTCGATCTACGCCAGGGCACCCGATCCACGCTGCGTTATGGCTGCGGGTTGTTGGCTAGCTAGAGTCTGGCGCAACAGTTTGTGTGCCACCGAAACTCCCAACCTGAACATGTGGGATTTCGATTGTGCTACAGCATTTTTTTCCCAAATTATAACGTGTGACAGGAAAGATTGCCCTAACAGCCAGAATGGTGTCCTACAGAGACGTTCTATCTGAGTGGCAGACCGGCCACATTTATACGATTCCGCCAGAAGCACAGAAACTTGCCATGTTTTGACGGAGCTGGCCGAAGTGACACTGTGCGGGACCATGCACCCACCCAGTGCTTGCGAGCCACCCGATGTGCATCGACTCGAGGCTGCTTTGATTGTGAGCGCCGCGGGTCAATTGAGTCACTGCGAATCGCTTCATTCACACGTGTTGTAGTCCTTTTGCTCAAATAGCAGTCTTCCGTGCTGACGGCTGCGAGGCCTTAGCCAGCCGTTCCGCCCTGAACCCCGCGAGCAAACCACTAAAAGGCCCTTACGATTTCATAAGGGCCTTGACCAACCCTTTGCGCACACCACGTCACGCCCCCAGCAGGCCACCGGCGCTGACGTGCCTGGGCACCGGGCGAACCCCCACCTCAGGCCCCCCCCGATTGGATCCGCAGCTGCGCCAAACCGCCTTCCCACCACATGTCAATGCCCCCCAGCACCACCTTCGCACCTGTGCAGCTCACTTCATATAAGGACCGGTGCCGTGGTGCGGAGCGCTGAGAGCCGCTTCTTGGCTGTGGCCCCATCATCCCCCCGGCGTTCCCACCCACCCCCACCCCCACCTCCACCCTCCTGACGGACGCCCGTTGGGTCGTCAGGCCTGCGAGGCGTCCCAGGGTTGGTCGGCGGCAAGGGGACCCCGGCGGCTCACTCCCCGCAACCCATTGGAGGATCCCGTCGAAGGTTTCTTGGCGCTGGAGGTGGGACACTTCGAAATCACGCCCGATGGCTGCCGGTCGTCAAATCGGCGTGTGGGCGGGGATTCCGTGGTGGCCTCCGATCGGAATGCGGCGCCGCCCTGCCGGGCATCTCGCCGCGCGCCGTGCCGCCGCGCCCGGTCGCCGTTTTTGACCGGGGGGTGAGCGCCCGGGGCTGCGTGGAAGGCGCGGTCGCCGCGGGAGCCTCAGCTCAAGGACCCAGTTCTCGACTATCACGGCCCGAATGGCCGTCGTTGCTCCCGGGTCTGAATGTGCACAGTGCACGGCTGTAGGATCTCTCAACTCTCGCCCGGGAACGGACCGATGTGGAAACGTGTCTCGCGCGGCGAGGGCGGGGGAGCACGGCCTTGCCCGTGCCTTGCAAGTTGGCCGAAGCGAACCTCTCGGGAAGCCGTGAACGCTCCCTGACGGGCGCCGCGTGTGGCCGACTGACATCGACGCGGCTGCCGCATCAAGTCGGGTCTGCCAGACCGCGAACAATGATCACCGAACCCTGCCGCCACCCCTCCAAGACCCCTTGGCTGCGCGCAGAAAGAGCGGATTTCGCTGCGCATTTCGCCGTGGTGCCGTGGGACTGAAGCCCTTGTGTCTCGCCGCGATGATATGGATTCAGGCTCGAAGAGGCAGAGGCGAGGCGGGGCACGGGGAGTCCGTCACGAGCTCGAGGCTGGTGGACGGTCGAGGCTGGGATGCCGGGACGCGCGTTTTCGGTGAACGGGAGGGGCCCGCCGCCTGCGGTGTGGCACGGGCCCGGCTACGAGCAGGGCGCTCTCTTGGGTGCGTGGGAGAAGATACTTTGTACCGATCCGACACTTGGCCGCGGGGGGCCCTCCAAAAGACAATCACTGACTCATCTTGAGGAGGACGCGACCGCCTGAACATTCAATCGCCCAGCCTGTTTGCCGGCCCCCCCGTGCCTCAGTGCTTCAGTACTTCTGTACTGTTTCTGCTGCGTTTTAGGTTCTTTCAGGGCTTAGGGTACATCAACTGCTCCAATTACTTTGATCTTCAGCAAACACTGGGTGACCAAACGGTTGCCCCGCTTGACGCGACAGCGCACTTCGCCATGCGACGGGACGACGCGCCAGACCCTCCCTGTCACGTCAGTGGATGTCTGATGAGACGGTGACAACAGGGATACCCCGCATACCACGCTGCCCGAGGTCCGAACCGCTGTAACGGTTGCGCACGTTCCCATATTTGAAATGCACATCGCGCAGCGATTCACATTGCTGGAACGCCGGCCAGCCACAGAATGTTCATTTTGGGGACGTACGTGCACACGTGAACAAGTAGCAGTCGACAGTTTATAGTAGGGATGCAATGTTATGCGCATCCTGCCGAGACTCGCAGTGTTGGATGACCAGCCGGGCACCGGATCCGTGGTTGGGGGATGCAATGGTTGATAACGGTATCAGGACGTTTCGCATTGGAAGTGCGCACCGCGCCTGGATTCCCATTGGCGGATCGCCGGTGGCGATTCGCCACCCAAACACGCGACCCGGATTTGAGGGCGCGACGATTTCAAACCGCTGCATGACCACCTGCTCCGTGCCGGCTGAGGCTGGCTCGCCCAGCGCCTCCTTGGACCTCTCCGCGGCCGTCGCCCCCGCAGCGGCTGGAGTCCTTCCTCCTCGCAGGCTCCCCTTGAGCCACAGCACCAAATCCTGCAATTCCGTGGGCTGGGTTTTGCTTGCTCCGACGCCGCTGTTCCAAGGGAGTGGCCCCCTGTTGGCTTGGTTGGCTTGACGCCAACCGCGCGCCCGACGAACGGCCAAAAAGTGTGCACGCTGGGCGCCCCCACGCAGCTCCCCACCCGCCATCTGCGTTGCCGGTCTCGACTGCGACCCGCGGACTGCGCCCCGCGGGCTGACGACGAACAGCGCAGTGCGTGGCGCGAGTCGTCAAATCGCAATCATCGGACTTCGTCGATATTCCGCGCGAACTCCGGCCGTCTCTGCGCGCTTGGACGCGTCGCGGGTGGATACAACGATCCCTAGCGTCGGCTGGTGTGGCTGCTTTGTGCGGGTGGAAGACCAGCGATTGTGCCTCGCGTGGATCTGGGTTTCGAGGTCGTCGCTCAGGGTGTGCCGTTGGGCCTCAGGGCCTCTTCTCGGGTTTCTCTTGAGTCCCAATCTCGCTCGGCGCCCCCAGATTTCCCAGACACGCGAGGGGCCGGGCGGAGAGGGACGTCGCAGCCCCGTGACCCGTGGCGTCGGAACTGAGGGCCCTGCTGACGCCGTCGACGCCCCCGACGACCCGCCCATTCCACCTTGCAACGAATCCCACCGACGCTGCTGACGCCCAGTTATCCTTCCAACCCCTTCGGCGACGCCGCCGGAGGATTGGCCTTGTCTCCAGGGTTTCCGCTCCGCCAGGTCGCTGAAGCGCCGGGGCTGCGATCGCTGCCTCCCGACTTGGGCGCCGTGTTTGCAGCCCGCGGCTCATCCTTCCGGTCTTTCCGCCAATTGGTTTTGGGATTTCGGAGGTGTCAACGCGACGCTTGGGGAGGGCGCGTGCAACGGTCCTGATGCCCCCTGAGCTCCGCCGGGTGGACGATGTCTTTTCTGAAGGTTTTGCTGCCGTCACACGCTTTGGTTTCTGCTGGTCTGCGCGAGTCGCTCGTCATGATTTGGGCCATTGTTTGTCTGTCGTCGAGTTGGACAGTGGCGGGTCTGCGGCGCCTTCATGGGCCCCATGGCGCACGGTATCGCAACGGGCTCATTGCAAGGATGTTGAACCGCCCCGGCAGTTGCTTGACATGCCTGGAGGCGCCCTCAACGCCGACTGGTGCAGACGCCTGTGACGATGGTGTGCGTCAGAAAGTGCCCAGCTGCGTTGCTGACCCACTTGCCAGCCCGACATCAGGGAGTGCGTGTGTGTGTGCACGCACAGGGCTGGTGTTGTTGATGCTTGGAACGTCCGTTGGAAGCCAACGAGGTGTAAACCCTGTGGTTGCGCCAATAGAAACAGCCTCTTATGCAGGGAGAGCAGGAGTGAGGAAGGAAGAATGGGGGATATGTAGACCACGTCAGGGAAGTGTGCGCAGTGAGAGTACTGTGTCCAAATACACTGTCAGATCAGCAAGAAATGCTGATCAGCAGATGGGGGACTATCAAAAGTAGATAGGTTTGGGCCTCCATCGTGTTTTAGAAGGATGTTCAGACAGGTCTACGAATTGGGACACCATCTGTTTTGTTCGCGATGCTGACATTCCTTTCCGGTTGGTGTTGCCGCAGGTGGCCAGCCTGCTGTCATGACGAATGCTTCCCTATCATATGCCGAGGTGATTCTCACAAGATTCCTGAAGAAAGGAGGGGCAGTTTGCGTGAAATGTTCATTCCTGTTGAAGAGCCAAATTCACCAGAGTCAGCTGCCTTTCCGCTGTTGCCCTTGGCTTCGGACTCAAGTCAACCAGCACCAAGGGAATATGGGGCTCTTCCTCTGCAGTGTGCTTCCTTTTGGATCATTGCAACGTTTCATGTTGATGCACACAGGGCCAGCATATCAAACAGGAGAGTTGTGTACCTTTGCCATCCTTCTAGCATTTGCACATGGCCCCAAATTGTACTGGCCACAAAATGAGGATTGTGGATACTGATAGTCAGAGTAGCTGAGCACGGTGGGACTGGAAAAGTGGAACCACATGTCAGCACAAAACGCGCCGCTCCATGAATGCAGTGATCCGAATCAGAGGAAAATGACGCATTGCAGTGCCTGTGCTGCGTTTGTTGGTCTAACATCGTGCCGTTTCTTGCAAATGCAGGAGCGGAGGATGCTGAATGCAGAGCACATGGCCGAGGAGAGGAGGGTGCAGGCACTTGTGAAGGACCGTGTGGTCTTGTTCTTTCAGCAGTACCGGGAGATCGTGATTGAGCGGTTCGGAACGGAGCGTCGCAACATGAGTCAACACGATCTGGACTTCCTTCTGAGTCATGCCTTCAATGACGAAGTCGCGCGGTTGACGCCACCAGAGCTGCTGCCCACACAGCAGCTGAACCAGCAGCTGAGAGGCCAGCCAAGATACAGATTAGTATTCGCGCACGATTGCCAGTGAGTACAATGTCAACGGAAGTTTGATGGACCCCATCAGTGCATGCATGATATTGGTTTAGCACTGCCAAATGGCTTCCTATTGTTGAGCTGTCACCATTCACCTGCATTCGTTGATTGCAGAGCACTCTGTGCGCCAGACAGCAGGTCTCACAAAGGAGCCCAGCGGGGCGACTGGGCCAGTGATTTGCAGTGCATTGTGTCCTTGTTCATTGCAGTAAAACTGACAACCGAATGCGATGTCGCTTGCGCTTGAAAGGGAACTGCTCTTAGGGAACTCTCAGCGGTGCATTGGGTGTCACACGCTCTCTTGTGCATGTGTTGTAAATATGCAGAGCGTCACAGTGGTCCCGTGCAAGGGCTTCGTGTGGTCAGCCCTTGAGGTCTGTTGCTTTTGCGTGCAGAGCCAAGTCCTGCAACGATCCGTCATGCCCCCTCTGCCTGAACAACCCCAAGAGACCATGTGGGGTCGAGATCTTCAAGAGGAAGTACTTCGAGCATGACGTCATTATTGCAAATTGCAAGGGTCCGATCAAGCTGCAGCTGTGCGATGCCCAAACAGGCGAGGTTGTCAAAATCAACATTACAGTAGAGGTATGGCCAGTTGCACCAAGACCAAACACAGCCCAAGAAACTTTGGCGCACCGATTCTGCACTATGCCTGCTGAAGTTGTCTTACCTGCGCTCTTGACCTCCTGCAGCGCCCGTGCACGACGCCCTTGTGCGGCAAAAATGGCAGCCGCTCAAACATGCAACCTTCTGAAGAAAGGCTTATGTGCTGACAGCGGATCGCCTATCTGTCTGCAGCTGTTCATGCTGAAGGGCACTGCCTACGACCAAAATTTTCCCGCGGGCATTCCCCACTGTGCCTGTGACGCCATTGGAGCATGCGCTCTCCTGATGGTCAGGGGTGAAGACAAGGACGACAGATCAAAGGTGCGGTCCGTGCTGCTGTCCGCCAACACTCGAGAGGGTTACTGGTGCTGGACGTTGCTCCGCGCCGTGGGTTGCGCAGGGGCAGGTGGACATCCTGGTCTCTTGGTTGCGTCGTGGGCTGTGGATCGTTGTGCAGCTTCGGAAGAATGGGTGGTCGACATGGCCAAGATGTGTCGCCGTGTTGGCAGTGATGTACTCGTTTGCTGCACATTGGGGCTTGGAGATTGCTTCGAGTCATTGTGAGCTCCTTGCGCCCCACAGTTATGATGCCGTCGTATTGTCCGAGTCCAAGAGGCACATGTCGACACCTGTGCGTCGTTTCCGCGTTGCCTGCAAGGACGCATTATTCGTTTAGTTTTACATTTATTTGTTTATATAAATATATAAATATATAACTATAACTATAACTATAAATATATATTTATATTTATATTTATATTTATATATTTATATATTTATTTATTATATTCACATATCTATATGAATTTGTATATATTTATTTATATTTATACGCATATTTATATTTGATTTTGATTTATATCTATATTTATTTATTTATTTATTTGTTTATTTGCATATTGATACACTGACTAATTCAATCATTTTTTCTTACTTTTTTCTTTCCTTACTCGAGTTTCGTCTGATAGCAGATTATGAAACACGTTTTGCAAAGCCAATCTGAGTATCAACACAAGGAGAAGGGCTGCTGCCGCTGTCCCATGCCTAGGTCCGTTTCTTGCAGAGCTGTGACAGTCGAGATGTTACACAGTAGCTAACACAGCAGCTAGACATCTTCAATTTGCGGAAGGGATTTGCCTTTTGTTGTGAAACACTAGAAGAAGGTTGGTGTTCCTCAGTATCCGTGACAGCGCAATTTATGTTTCATTGCAAGTCTCGTATGTCTCATCGCAAGTGCTCCCCATGCACAAGCAACAAGCAGCGGAAGATGTTGCCACAAAGGATGCCAAGCGTTGGTGCAGCCCGCTTGTGTCAAACCTTGCCTGTTCCTCTTTCACTGTTCTCATCAGTCAGCCTTTTTGCCAAAGTGCTGTAACCTTTGAAATTTCATTCGACAAGGCAAAGCATTGCTTTCACACCTTATAGGCATTGACGTGCGTGCACACTTTCAAGAACGCGTTGGGGTCCCGAATCTGCTTGCCAAACTGCAATCTCCCACACATGCTTCAATGTGATAGGACACCATTTTGCTGCTGTCACAATATGTTTGTGTTTGCTGTTCCCATAAGGTGGAGACGCCATTGCTACTATCTGACAACATTCCGAATCAGCCCAATGGGAAGTTGCACATTTGTCTCCAGGTGAGCCTTTGATTTGGGCATTTCCTGACAGGGTCGCAGCAAGCTGGCATGCTTGTTAGCGATATACTTCTGCTGGTGTGATTAGAGCTTCTCATCAATTTTTTTATGTGTTAATCTGCCGTGCTCGTGCATAATGCTGTGGTCCATCACTGTTTTTGGACGTATTATTAGATTTTCGCCATCAGCAAAACACGCCACATCGACAGAAAAAAGACGAAATAACACTTTTGCAAACAGCACTGGCATGGAAAGTTCCCACAGCAGCAACAAACAGGGATGGCAGAAGTACACCTGCCGTCACCTTGCAGGAGCAAGGACAGCATTTGTCAACTGCTTGCTGATGCATCCAGATGGACTGTCACCAAAGGCAATCTGGTAAACAGCAACCACTCAACCCACCTTTTCCCTCTTCAGCACCATGTTTTTGTGACTGGTTTGTAAGCGATTTATGCAGAGGAGTCTGCCCCAAATTCGTCATGCAGCCAGAAGGTGCCAGTCTTTTCACTTGTGGTGGGAGCTCAGCATACAAATGGGTGCTATTGAGCCCCGATGGTGTGTGGCATTCACAGACCATTCTTATGCTGAAGCTGTGATGCCTCATCTTGGTAACGGCCTCGATGCCCCTCTGGGCATCCAAGAAACTTCAAACCAGCGGACGGCAGTGTTTGATAGGGGCGTGGGGGTTTGTCAACTGCCTACTCTTGTTGGCTGTGCTTGGAAGCAGGGAATCCCCATGGTTGTGCCCTACATACCATGTCTTCGTTTGTTCTTCAAGCAGAATAGGCTCAGCCATCGTTGACCATTTCGCTTCGCTTCATTTGCATCATTGACATCGCAAGGCCTGTGCTGCAGGATGGAGAGGCAGTGCTCCCGAGCGTCAAAGTCTTCAAGAGCAGTGAGGCACTGCTGGGCGGGCGGAAAACGCCCTATCGGCTGTACGCGGGCATCCCAAGGGACTCCTCCACGCTGCTTCCTGAGACTGTTGCTCCGGCCGTTGATCCGCTAGGCTTCGTCGTTGCCACCCAAAGGGCCAAACTGCAAGAAAAAAAGGGAAGACCTTTCCTTGCTGACCCGATTGCCAGCCTGGATCAGATTGGAGGACGGAGAGTGGAAACACTTGGGTGCTTGGATGCGAAGATTGACCTTCCCGCTGGCGTTCTGGGGAAGGTGCACACAGGTGGGCATGTTCATATGGCTGCTCGACTGATTTTGGCACGCTGTGGATTTTGGGGAGGCACACGCAGAACCTATTGGCATGTGCATTTGTCAGCAGCAAATGGATGAAGCCTTAGTCATAAGGAAATGTGGGACATTTTTGGGAGGCAAAATCTGCCATTGGCCTGCTGTGACGCAGTGCTGTCTGTGACGTTGTATGGGGAGAATATCTTCAGTCCAAACACAGCCACAATGCCGGACAGTGCATTATACTTATGTGCACTTTCGTGTCATTCTGTATTGTGTTTCTGGTGCTTATGTCAATCAATGAGCCTGTTTTGCAAAAGGGGAGGCATAGGTAACAATTTTTGGCAGTGTTGTGGGGATGTGTTGTATTTTGTGCCAACTGCCACGCTTCCACATGATACTCCTACGGAACAAACCCAGCCTTGAGAGATTGTCTTACAGCTCAATTTGGTTCACAGGCACTTTCTGTTCTATTATCAGATACTTTGGTTGCATTCATCATATAGGACAGAGACATGGATTTTGTGGTGGTGGGCCTTTGGTAACGAGCAGAAGTGCATATGCTCGTGCCTACAGCATTTTGGCTTCCATTTTCCACCAGGCTTTCCCCCTGGTAGGCAAATATTGCACAGGCAATGCCAACGGTTTCTGCCCTCCATGTGGCAGTCACAAAAGCAGACAGTGAATATGTGGTTTGTGTATCTACCCTGACCATGTCAATGTGTGTGTTTTGCAGTCAAAGACTTTCTTACCCTCGGAAATGATCTCCAAAGACATCCACATCACAAGAAAGAAGTGAGCCTCAACCGTTGGTGTTGAGCGACTGCACTGCACTCGGTGTTCTTTGGTTGCGGATTTTGGCTGAAGCCACAGTGGTGTTTGCAAATGTAGTTTTGGTACGGAGACGTGGATTGCTGCGAATGCATTCGAAGCACATTTGAGGCACTGTAGAAGGTGCAGTTCAAGGGCCAGTGAAATGATCGTACATTTCTGCCATCAATGGGGGCAGATGTTCTCACCCGTGCCTCTCACCTGCCCCACAGATTCTTACCCTTCTGAAAATGAACGACCTTCAGTGGGCGGAGGCGTGGAAACACGCCAAGACTGCAGTGCAGGCGGACAATAAGCTTCGAGTGTGGTGGTTCACCAATACAGAGGGGCTGCTGTATGAGTGCGAGACTGGGGAGGTGAAGCTGAAGGGCCCAGCAGGTTGGCCGTGTAGCAAAAACAGAACAACAACGAGCAATGAATCTGCACATTTGTTTCTAATGTTTGCTCCAAATTGTCATATCACGCGCAATGACTCAGCAGCTCTGTCTGGTAATAGGAACAAAGCCATGCAATTGTGCCATCGACAGACGTATGTACCTGGTGCTGCTTGGCACAGTACTTGTTATATCGACATGTGACTTTCCATGCTATGTACAAAATGCTCTGATGGTGTGGCCACCCATTTAGTTCTAAACTATTACATGGTGGGGACATCCTTGCTCTTTTAGAAGACACTGTTGATAGTTGCAGAAAACATTTGACCCGCTGTTTGCTTTGGAGGCCCAATCTTGTCAGTGCTCGATCGCATGAATCCAGCGCATTATTTTCAGAAGATTACGTCCGGAGTACATTTCTTCAAATGTTGTATCTGCGCATGCACGCGTTGGTGACGCTGGCCTATCCTAAGACTAGACTGCAATAACTAATTGGTGAAATGGGGTAGCCAGTCACATCAGGGTTCTGTGCCAGTTGATGTGCTTGGCGGTGGGGCGTTTTTGTGTGGGATCTGTTGGCAGCACATTGAGGTTAAGCAACATTCTGATCGACGAGTTGTGTCAGGATGGAGGTGTCCACAGTGCAACTAGTCTGTTGGTGTGTCAGCACGACAGTCTCATGTTGGCAGTCTATGGCTACGCAATTGACGGGAGTGGCTATATCCAGGCCAAAGAACAGAAATCTGGTCAGCCAGTGGGCATTTGCCCTCCTGCTGCCGTTAACGCTCTTGGCCTTCCTGTTGTGTGTGTGCAAGACTCTCCAGTGTAGATTGCTCTGTGGCTATGACTGGCACGTGCGGCAACTTGGCAACATTGCGAATGCTTTTGGCAGGCTACATAAGCTGCGGGGAAACCCCACATGCGATGCCGTGCTCGGACTTCCCACCTGATCAGCAGGAGAGCCTAAACGACCTGCACAAGGACGCATTGAGGAGCTACGGAATGCCCGGACATCCTGGGTGGGAGGTGTACCCGTACGACTCCATCGACTTCAAGGCCGTGAGTAGCCCACGCAAGCCCAGCAAAAGCGCTGTCAGCAATGAGATGTGCATTTCGCACCATTGAGATTTGTTTTGGATCAGCGGTAATGCGTGCAACGTGCGAAAGTTGGAAAAAGTCGTGTTATCACGGCCTTGTCTTTTGGCGGCCGGTTTGTTTAGTACCGTATGTCTCCTGACTGTATACGCGAGCATGATTACACAGGTGGATAGAAATAACGCACACTGTATATGGGTGCAGTGACAGCAATGCACATTAGTCTACATTATTAAGCTCCAGTACATGGGCAGTTGTGCTCCAGACAACTGACTATGCTGGGCATGCTCAGCATTGTCTTCATTCGCCGAGTGTGTGCGTACCATTGGTGTGTCTTTTTTTAACCAGGAAGAAAAGCGAATAGCCTTTCTCCTGATGGGGGGCCAAAGCTGACTTGGTTATTGCTTTTGTCACAAATCTGGGTTCTGGTACAACCGCAAAATCGTGAATGAGGAGAAGCACCAACGTCAACTGAAAACTAGGTTCACTTGCTGTTACCTTCCCATGGGTTCCACCTGAAACTCCAGCTCTCTTCTTCAGGGAGTGGTGAAGCTATCCTTGACAGCTGCTGTCATTGTGCGCTTTGGATTTCATTGCGTGAACACATAGTACGCAATGCACTTTGGATATGATTCCAGTGGAAAGTACGCAGTCAGGTCCTGACGTAATTGAGCCAAAGATTTCTGGTCTGATCAGCAAATGAGGCTGGAGAAGGGTACATGAGCAAACGCGCTGAAGCAAAATATGCTGTCGTTAGTATGTTCGTCATAGTCCCGCAGTTGCAAGATCAGTGGCTGCCATTTGGTTAGCAAATGTGGCTGCGCGGATTGCCACAGTATGAGTCATCACTGTGCCATGTCATGCAGCAAAATGCGCATTGCAATGAGAGAGGAAACATGTTATGCAATGGGCGCCACTGTCAGCGGCATACATCTGTGTTCGAGACTCTTGTTCATTGATTTTTGGACTCCTGACATCAAGACGTTGTTCCCCAATGCAGTCCAATGTATAGGGACATCCATAAGAAACGCGATGCGTTGCTACTTGTGTCCGTACAGCTCCCCAATGTTGCCCTTCGTTTCAGTCAGCCAAACAGGATTCAATTGATATGCGCATGAAAACTCAACCAACACAAAGGAAAGGAAAGAGGCGCATATGGAAAAATGAAGGCGCCCTGGAAAAACAGGTGCACTGTTGTCCGTATTGTGAAGGATGGTCTGGAAGTCTCTGAGAGGGAAAGCGGACAACGCAAAGTACGAACGGAGCCATGCAATTCGGAAGCGGTATTGCCGTTAATGATAGTTTGTAAATTGAAGTGCCAGCATTTTGCAATGGCGCGTCAATGGTTTATAGACGATGTTACCAATGATGGCATTCTGTAAATAGCATTGCCGTCTGCAGCAATGGACTCGCACTATGGGCCGCACCACAAGCATCAAACCGCCCAGGCAAACAAACTCGTAACGAGCAAGGCAGGCTGATATTTCATATTGTGCATTGCAGAAACCAAGTGCTATCCGAATCGCGCGTCCAACAAAGCTGATTATCCCACTGCCCAAGGTTGAAGGTGAACCTGAGGCTGCCGATTCTGGGCGGATTGTGAGTGGGCTGTCAGAGCTCTCCCTTGATGACTCGCGCTTCAACAGTTGTCTCGGTTCTGGGTTGAACTGTTTCAGAGGTGGCTATTCCTACCCAAAGGATACCTTTTCCTACCCCAAGGATGAAATGTCAATGGAGTCCGTAGAGGTTGAAGGTGAGGCAGCTGGAGCAACAGCCATGGCCGAAGCCTTTGGCAGTCCACAATCAGAGTACCCCATGGACTCTACACTGATGCCTCATCCAGGTGAGATAGCGAATCCCAACCAACATGCTAATATACTACGGTGGTAGCGTATCTTTCCACCACGGTGAGATGGCGTTACAACCTGTGACGAAATGCAAGTTGTTTTGGGCTATCCTGAGCTTGTGCCAGCAGTACTTGTGTTCATCTCAAGGCAAAAAAGCCATGAATTTGTGCTTGTAACGGCAGGCACAACTGTTCTGGCAACGCTCGGTATCCATCCTGGCGTGGATGGGCATGCTCTATGCCGGTGGTAAAAGTTTCCCTTCGCCAGCGGGGAAGAAACTTGTATTCTGGATATCCTGGATATACATGTTCAGGATATGGCCGTATCCCAGGATACGGTGCCCCACATCCCGGGATATGGCCACGTCCTCGTCCGTATCCTCGCCATATCCCAGTGCGCGCACAGCAACACGCCTTTGGCCGGCACAGGCGTTTCATGCTGCACTGCCACTGAGCTGCGCACTAATCCCTGTGTTCATTCCTTCAGGGGACCCAGGCTGCTCGATGCCGCCGCCACAGCCCCGCATCCCTCACTCTCCTCCAGACAGCGCCTTCACCGCCCCGTCGCGCCCCACCTCCCTCCAGCAGCAGCCCTGCTGCTACTCCAGGCCCGACCAGTTCAACGACCACCGACTGACGATCAATCCAGCCATGGCCCCGCCCATGCACATCGCCGGCCAAATTGCCCTAAACATAAAGCCGAAAGAGGCGCAAACCGATCCAAATGGCGAGCGCGGCGCGGAGCAGTTTGAATTTGACCCCGGACGGGATCAGTTCCAGCCAGATACGTCGGTACATGCCGCCCACCGCGCGTTTGCCGAAGACGGCATTGGGCAGCCGTTTCAAGATGTGGACGAGATGCCCATCAACTCAGAGGACCTGGGGAGCTGGAGGTGTCTCCCGACCAGCGGGGAGCAATTCTGCGAGGTGGAAACCGCCAAGTCCATGCTGCAAACTCAGAGGGACCCCTCTCAGTTCCCCCATCCAAACGACGGAACGTAGGTAGCTGCCATTCACCTGGCAATTTGCTGCTGATTAGAATGCAGGGTGTGGCTGACAAAGGGCTGATGTACATTGGGCTGATCTATTACGGGCTGATGTGACGTGGGTAATCTGTTTTTTTTAAGGGGGGCGATCGGACGTGACTGAGTCTCATGTAAGCTCGCGTGTGGTGTGGACAACTGTTCTCTCCACGGCGACGCTGCGGTGCTTTCCAGAGCGCAGCGCGCGAGCTGGGCGTTTGGGAAGACTGGCGGATTGCGGCCCGCCTTTTGCTCGTCGTGGCAGTTTCCCCATAATGTGGGGTGGCTTCATTGATGCAGTGGGACTTTCTTTCGGGATTAAGGTGCCGGGCTGGGCATGCGATGTAAGTGAACCTTGTAAATGTGGCACCTGATGGTGGGCTGCGCAAGGAGAAGGACAGTCAAACGTCGCTCGCGGCCATCCAACAACCGAATATGCAGGCCGCTGGCCCAACGCCCTCTTTCAGTGCGGCGCATTGTTGCTATGCTTGTCTCCACAACTTCAAGCATTGGATGGTATTTGCACTTGGCAACAGATGAAAGGTAACCATTCTCTGGCATGGTTTGTCATACTGACGTGTAGGCATAGCTGCTGATATAGCTGGTATGCAGCGACCACTTTGTTGCGCAAATGAGCAGCAATGCTGCCCCAATTTCTCCCCAGCCGGTCTACCCGCCCCCCTCCCCCTCCGGTGTTCATGCGCTGGTTGCCACATTAATCCAACAACACTTCAAATTGTGCTCATTCGCTTCGCAGTGCATTGCGCCGTGCTACAGCGTGACTTACTGTATAAGTAAAAAAGTTCGCGCGGGAAAAAAGTTCGCGCATTTCGCGCTCGAGCAACTGCGCGAACTTTTTTCCGCGCGAACATTTTGCCCCCGCGAACTTTTTTCGCCCGCGAAGTTTTCGGCCTCCTCCCAAATGGGTCGGGCGCTTCCCGCGCTTTGGCCCGTTGGCCTTGCACAACGACGACTGCCCCGTGCGGCGGTCTTTGACGAGCAGCGACTGCCCCGAAGGAGTCGTGAGCTGGCGAGCAGATCGCTCGCGCCGGTGGCCATTGGCCAGCCGAATCTTGGCGGCGAGGAAGTGCCATCTCCCTGACCAGGCCGCTCGTGCTATTCGTCTGCGGCAGGCGGAGGGTCAGGACGGCGGCCGGGGGCCCCCGGCCCCGGGGCGGCACAGCACAATAATAAACGGCGCACCCCCTGGCGAAGGTCAAGGGCGGCAGGAGCCCGGTTCCGCAATGTTCGCGCGGCAAAAATTTTCGCGGGCGAAAAAAGTTCGCGGCGGAAAAAAGTTCGCGCACCGACGAGTGCGCGAACTTTTTTCCGCGCGAAATACGCGAAATTTTTTCCGCGCGAACTTTTTTACTTATACAGTAACCCCGAGTCAGCGTCGCAATGCCGCAGTTCACCCCCACACCATTCCAATTATTAACATCTGGACACATAAACAAGATGACGAGGCACTAGGAATTGCATCAAGGACGTTGATGAGCGGACTGGATATAAGGGACAGGACTCCTGTTGCCCCTCTGCTCGGCTGTAAACCGTTGCCGTGGACTTAAGCTTGCGGTCCCTTGGCGGGGATCGCCACCCCTCGACCCCACCCGCCTTCATCAACGACACGATTTCTTGGTGATAATGATGATGACGACGATGGCCCGACCGTACGGCGCCGAAGTCGCTGAGGTTTTCCTGCTAACCCCTGGCCCTCCGATGAGCGCGGCGCGCGGGCGCACCGAAGCGAACAGGCGCAACCTCCCGTCGCGCCCAGCCCCCAGTCCCTCCGCCTGACGCCGCTGGCGCCTGGACCCCATTCAACAACCAAGGAATCGGGATCCCGAAAAGGCCCAGGCCATGGGCTCCCAACCCCAGTTCAACTTTTCATCATTCCTGCAGTCCGTGGCATCCGAGCTGTCCTCGCCGCGGGACGTTCGCGCGCCGCTGACCCTAGGCGGCGGCTCGTCGGCCAGCGACGCGTCCGCGTCGCCGCCTGGCCGCGATCTGGACCATCCCGACTTCGGCGACGCGGGCGGGATGGCCCCCGACGGCGATACCCGGCCGGCCGGGGAGGGCGGGCGGGGGCCGGGGGGTGTCGGGAGGGCGCTGCCGGATGGCGCGGCGCTGGAGCTCGTGGACGGGGAGAATGCGGAGGGCGCACTGCCGCAGCTGCCGGAGAAGACGATCACGGTGCTGAAGGTCGACGTGCTCCGCAACGGCGCGGCGGAAGAGTGCCTGCGCCGGATCGCGGTGAACAGGAGGTGCGGGGGGGAGGGGTGGTCCCAGAGGCGGCGCGAGGGCTGGGTGGGTGGTGGTAAGATTTGTTGCAAAGGGAGGAAGAAGCGGGTCATGCAAAGGGCACCCCTCCCGCAGCTGGTGAATGCGGGACTCTTGTTTTGGGGGGAGGGGACGCTGGGTGTTGGTTGTGGCAGGAGGTGGGGGTTGATCGGCAGGATGCAGGGCAGCGCGTGCCATTGTCTACGTTTGGCCGGCATGGAGTGTGTGGGAGCTGCAGCACTGGGGCGCATGTTTTGTCACGGAGGGGCCTGCTCTCCGTCGTGACAGTTCAGCTGATGGCTGCCGAGTTCATTTCCTCAATTTTGCGCAGCTGTTGAACATTTAGGCCTTGGCGGGCGTCCAGGCTCAGCACCTGCCAATTGTGGGAGGGATGCAAACGTGTGTATTTGGCTATGGCACCACTTAGCAGCTCAACCCTCCGTTGATGCAGCTAATCTTAGTACAAACTTTTCTGGAACATCTGGAACTGGGCATGTGCGTGGTGGTGGAGGGAGGCTACCCTTCAGGGCTTCTCAGAGAAAGGCACCGGCCTGCTCTGACCTTGAAGCACACTTTTGTGTTCCCCAGGTTCATCTGCTATGGGCTTGCCCTTGGCCACATACGTGTGCTGTTCAAGTCCACTGGTGCCAAGGCCCTGCTGAAGGGCCACACCGCGCAGCTGACTGATCTTCAGTTCCTGAACTATGAAGAAGATTGGCTGCTCACAGCTGGAGCAGATCACAAAATCTTCATTTTCAGGCTGATATACACCCAACTCGGGGGTATGGAATCTCAGAGCCTCTTGCAGTTGGACCTCTCTAGCACAGTGGACCCTTCCCCAGAGGTGCCTGTCAGAGTCTTGTGGCATCCAATGTGCGAAAAGTTCTTCCTGTTCTCTGCAAATGACCGCATTTTCTTGTTCTCCATCGAAAGGGCGGTGAAGGGCGAGTCTGTGTCCAATGCAGCTGGAAGGCTGAGCAGTGTTGTACACAGTGGGGAGGTGGAGCCAGTAGTGTGCACTATTGGTGCAGATTTCAGAGACTGCCACTACTGCAAGATCCTTGCCACGTCCACACACTGCACATGGCTGTCAGGGCAGAAGGAGGGGAGCCTTGTGGCCGCTGCCACTGCACAAGGAAATGTTTTGGTCTGGAGACTGCCAGAAGGGGACATCCTCCCTTTGCTTGATTTCCAGAGATCAGTGTCATGGGCTCTTGGCCCTGATTTCTGTCCCTATGGGGGTCAGAAAGTGAGATTTGTGGACTGGTGCTCACCAAACTGCCTCCTGACAGCGGGCGGCAGCAGTGCTTGCGAAGCCTTAAAGCTCTGGGGTTACGACTGGTCCAAGCCCATGCTACGCTCCCCGGATGAGCTTCGCAGACTTGATGTCCAGCTGCCTCCGGGGAAGGAAGGGCAACTGTTCGTAGCAGTGGAGTCCAGATGGGACCTTGTGCTGGTGGCAAACTCTGCAAGTCCTGTCATATCCGTCCTTCAGCTGGACCTGCGCAGCGAAGGCGCTGCATTTAGTTCTGTGGCCCAGTTTGCACTGAAGCAGCCCATTCTAAGCATGCAGGTGGTTTGCAACAGCGAGGCGGCTGGTGGTGTCGATGAGTTGGTGAGGCTGTATGTGGTGCAGACTGAGGCGGTAAATCAGTACAGCTTGAATCCGTACCTCTGCTGTCCTCCAGCTGGTGATCGAGGCCAGGCAGAGGAGGGGGGTTCTCAGGACGGCGTGGCAGCAGGCAGCTGCAGCAACCTGTTGGATGACCACCTCATGAAACTTGGCTATGAAGGCGTGGGCATGGAAGACAGTTTCAAGCAGTCCAGAGAACAGGCCAGCCCCGGCTTGTACAGTGCGACTCCAGCTGCACCGCAGAATGGCTCAGAGCAAGGATCAGCTTTGGATTCAAGCGCAGACCTTCTATGCAGCACCACAGACCCACAGGGGAGGGGCAGCCGGCACCTGGGAGGCGGTCCTGATCGGATTCCATCAGAAGATGCCCTCCAACAGGTCAGCGCAGCGCTGCCAACTCTGTTTGGGGGCGCTTTCGGCAATGGACAGCCCTCCAGTTGCCAGGACCACATTTCGGCTGGCCCACTGCCAGTCATAATTCCTGAAGAATCGTCGCATGGCCACGTGGTGGAGAGTGGTCGAGCGCCGGGGTCGTCTTCTGCTGGCTCGGCACCAAAGCTGCCACTCCAAAATCAAGCTGGCGCCTCCGGTGGAACGCTCGGGCCACGAGGTGCATCGTGGCCTGAGCCCTCAAACAGGGATGGGGCAGACTCCCAACAGGGCATTGCCAGCCCGTCAGTGAGTGGCACTGCACTTGAGCCCCCCACGGTGGTGAATCCACGAGTGACACAAGCGGCAATGGGCATGCTGCAAGGAGTGACACCAATCGGAGGGGGCCCACAGCCGCAGAAGTCTCAGTCGGCTGTTGACGTTCCAAGCGACCCCCCGTCCAGTGCTGGCCTTCCAGATATGGTTGGTCATGGGACCGTCTATGGCCACGAAGAGAAGAGGAGCTTGCCGTCAGATTCAAGGTCGCACTACTTCGAGGGATCGCCCACTGTGGAGAAGGTGATCTTGGAGCACAGAAAGATTATGAAGAACATGGAGCACAAATTAGGCAAGACTGTTCGCGATGTGGAGGCTCGGGTGGTGGAGTTGTCAAGCACCCTGAAATCGCACATGGAAGCCCACAGAGAGGGTGTGGCTGGGAATCAATTGCAGGCTTTGGTCGCATCAGCCACGCAAGAGGTGGTCATGTCTACTGAGAAGGTGATTCGCAATGAAATGAAATCTGCGCTCCGAACGGCTCAGTTTCCAGGTTCGCAAAAGGCCCTTATGGAGGGCATCAGCAAGAACCTGACGACCGCACTGTCCAGGAGCATGGAGATGTGCATCGCATCACAGCTTCCCAAGGCCCTGATGCAGCCATTGCAGGAATACTTCAAAGACAGTTTCAGAACGCTGATACCGGCGTTCGAAGCAGCTGTGCAGGCCATGTTCACCCAGATTCACGGGAGCCTAGTGGCAGGGCTCTCTGAACACCTTGGTCCAGCTGGTGGAGCAATGAACAAAGTTTCTGCATCAGTCGAGCAGGGGCTGTCGCAGGTCAGCACATTGGTTGAAGGCATTGGGAGGGAGATGCAGGACATGAGGCAACAATTTGTTGATGTGAAGTCGAAGATGGCAGAGCTCAAGCGCGACATCATGGTTTTGCGCGACCGGCCGTCTTCCCCCGCTGTTCACACTCGCTCTGCATCGCGGACGCCGTCAGATCCCAGTGCAGAACTTGCAGTCATGATCAAGGCTGGTGATTACGAAGGGGCATTCAACCAGGCCCTTTCCTTGGCGCGGATAGATGTTGTGACTTGGCTCATTTCCCAGATAGACCCCTACCGTGTGCTCGGTGGTTCGACGTGCCCCTTGAGCCAGAGCGTCCTGTTGTCACTGTTGCAGCAGCTGGGTTGCGACCTCAACGCCAACACCGCGCAGAAGTTGGAGTGGATAAAGGCCGCAGCCATGCACTTGGATCACAGCCCCAGCAGCCCTAGGACCTCGCACCTCCAGCAAGGCGTGCTGGATCACCTGCTGCAACAGCTGAATGCAGTGGCTCCGACGCTCACAGGGCCAACCAGCATGTCGGCGAGGATCGCGGTGCACCTTGTCGGGTCACTTCAAAAGCAGACAGTATGAGAGGGCCGCCTGCAACGTGGAGCGAGGGCGGAGCCCACGCCTGTGGGCAGAACACATTCGAAGCCCCAAATGCATAATGGCAGGATGCGTGGGCTCAGTCAGGACTACTAACAGTGTGCAATGCCAGAAACTGCTGTTCAGGGGAGTGGCTTGGACTGCAGTAGGATTGAAGATGTTTGCAATGGCGGGCCCAGGGTGTGTAACTGTATAGAGGACAGGCGTGGTGTGTGTGTAGAGGTGCTTGACACGGTTTTCTCTTTGGGGATGGCTGAAACAAGAGCGATTGCAAACAGGCCAGCCGAGACATAATTTCATTGTCACAACGATTCCTCCCAGCGTGGCCCTCACGTTTGTGTATGTGGAGCATGGCATTGTGCAAGCGCAATCCTGCTCGTGAGCAAGCCACCGGTGCTCGTTCAACTTCTTGAACGAGCCTTTCGAGGACCCTGCATGGCCCATCAGTCCTGTGGAGCGTTTGCCAAACGCCAGAGAATTCCGCGCTGGCTGAAATGAAACCGACAGAGGAGTGCTGTCTTCTACTTCGTTGTTAACGTGTGTATGGTAAGTTGGGCTCTGGGATGGAGCAGAAGAGACAGAATTGACATACAACAGCCAAGGAAAAGAAGTAACAGCATTGCTGCCCCATACTTTAATGTAGCATCGTAATCCCTTCAGCCCAGCGGGGAAGTCGTTGATATTGGTACCAGAAGGGCGTGTTGTGGAGAGAGCCCTCGATACAATATGACTGAATCGCCTTCTTCAGAATCTGGGTAGAATCGTCTCCGCCATCGCCTTGGAGATGCAAGGGCAGTGTTTGTTACTGATGTGCACGTACATTGTATTGCCTGCAGAGCAGCGCTAAGTCAGGCATTGCATCGTTGGCTCGAACAGTGCATCAAACAGGATTTTGTGCACAGGCACGTCCAGTCCATCAGTTTTGGTCAGGACCCTCCTCCTCCCCCCGCTTTCCAAAAAAGGACCATTAATCCAGGGATGTACACGACCACCAAAGACACTGTTCTTTAGATCAAACATCGCGATTCCCATCGGCACAACGATCATTCCACTCTCATCTCTGGACAGCGGAGTCTGCAGACTGTAGCAATGGCCCTGCTGCCTGGAAAACTCCCACTCGAAAAGAACGAAGCTAGATCACAGAGAGACTAAGAAATCCACGCAAAATCGTGAATCCAGCGGCTCGTCTGCAGGATGCAATGCCTCCGCTTGGGCTTGTGAGGGCAAATTGTTTTTTTGAACCAAGGGATGTTACAAGGCATCACAAAGGCAAAGGCAAAGGCATCACGTTGTAAATCTCTGACGAATGCAATCAAAGGAACGGCGCAGGAGATGAACCCCTGTCGTGCGCATTTCCAGAATGTTGTTTGGACTTGAAGCGGCAAGCGCGAACCCAGTTGCACATCGGAAAGGCGTGCCAATCATCCACTGAACAACGAGAAGGGAAACTGGGACCCCGCCTGCTGCCTGTGAGCTTACTGCAAAAGCCACACAGTAGAGCAGCCACCGGGCAGTGCAAACACGGAGACAGGGCAAAGGAAAGCAACAACTCGTGAGAACGCAAGCTCTGCTTTCCTTGGCTTCCTTCAGCCAGTTGTTGTGCCATTTAACGGCAAACATTTCCCAATTTGCATCTTCGCCAATGCAAATCTAGGCCTGGGCGGTTCAGGGAAGCACACGATGCGGTCACCCAACACGACCCATCCGAGGGACAACACGCTGGGCGGTGAGAATGAAGCTCGCTGCAGGCGCGCTGCCTGCCGCCCTTGTCATCCTTGGGTGCGTGACGGACGCTTCGGCGCTGAGCTGGCGACTCTTTGTTGGCAGGTGAGGGCCCCAGGTGGATGCGTCGGGCTGTGTTCTGCCAGACTTGTGTCGTCAGTGCACGCCCCCTTGTGCTGCAGCCCCCCATGCGCCCCCTCCCTCGCTGTTTGGGACGCAAAAATCGGTACTCGCGGCCATCGTGGCGATAGCGGTTCGTTGTGAATGGATGGATGACCATGGTGACGTCAGAGGAGTCACGGAATCTCTTTGCCCTTCTTCACCGCTGGCACTCCATGCTGCCGAAAGCCCCTGGCGATGAAGTGCTGTTGACTGTGATTGCGACAGCACATTCTTTTGTGTTCACTGCGATGGTCGGTCCCCAGGGACGGCCAAGAAGCTGCTGAAGAACATGATACTGTCTTTCTGTGTTGTCACCACGACAGTGAATTATTGTATCCTTGCAGACAACGTGGCGCAGTACGGTGTTCCTCTCATGCGTTTCTGCAACAAGAAAAACTCAGCCCGAACTGTCCTATGACAGAATGACAGTGGTGCTGAAGTATACATTTCTCTCTCAGTTTTCACTGCTCTGCCAGTCCGCCCACAAATTCATATTGCGACAGAGTTATTGGCTTTTCGTACAAGCTGGGCACCCCCCTGGTGAGTAAGGAGAGTCAGAGACACTGTCGCAGCTACGGGAGATGATGCAGAGCTGTCCAAGTGCAGCAAGAGTAGCATGCAACACAGAGCAATGCATGTGCTGATGAAACCACATAGTTATTTTGTGCGCCACTGGGATCAGGGGCTCTGGGCCATTACTTAACTTAAATTAATGCTGCAAGTCCTTTGTACAATGGGGCGCTCTTCATTAGTATGGGGCTAACCACTGAAGAGGTTGCAGCTTTCAGCACAAGTAATTGCGGTTGATTCCAATGGAGTGTCGTAGCTGAGCAGACAGCATACCATCAGCCCATATGTAGGGAATGTGTGCTTGCAGTACATGGCCGTATTCTGCTGCCATTGCTGCTGTTCATCATGTGACGGAGTTACGACATTATTAAGAACACAGGATTATGCGAAAGAATTCCTGTCCCAAAGCAGGCTTCCCTTGCTTGTTCACTATCATTTTGCAACACAATAACACCAACACTGCAATGCTGACATACAAGCCCAGCAGCAGCAATCTCGCTGAGTTGGCACATTTCAGGGCTGATACACTGCCAATCTGAGCCCCGGTTGCATTGCTATGCAACCCGTGAAGGTCAAAATATCTTTGTTAGCATCCCTATTGCTGTGTCAGCATTGCTTACTACAGCAGCACAGTGGGGCTGGCAGAGTGCGTGCATGATAGCAATAGAAGTTACTACCCTGCTTCTTGTGGAAGTTGGCAGTTGATTCCCTTGCGTTGCTATGACTAACTCTAAAGCATTGCAGTTGCAAGGCTGTCATTTGTCATGTACTTGAATAATGATGATTGTCCGTAGTGTGAGGTGACTTTTGTGTTCTTTTCACTGAAGGGATGACTGTGTGAGCGAGTGGCTTCCACAATCGCAGTATGACAAGTTGAAGGAATCGCATGAGAGCAGAAAGCAGCGCATGCCTGATGAGCTGAATGTGGTGGTCGATGCAGGCTTTCTGGTAAGGATCTCACTTTCAACAGTCTTTGCATTTTCCTAATTCATGAGCTTCCAGGGGCTAACCAAACTGAGGATCCATTGGTCAGTTGTGCTTACCTTTGACACAAAGGGAATGAGAAAGTGCTCAACCAAAGTGAGTGTTGCACCACCTTGCGATGAAAGCCATCCAATTTATTCAACGTGAAGCTGGCAGGTGGCCCTCCATTGCACAACCAATGGGAAAAGTTGAGCAAGCAAACAGCTCTGTTGAGGTGATTTCTTCTGCTGTGGAGAACACCTGACATCACGTGACAGATGCTTGGGAAGTGTCAAGTCGTTTGACTATTGCTACAACCACAACACACTACAGCAGCATATGCTTATAGGACTTGGCATTTTTGCTTTGGCCATCGTGTGAATTTATGTTCTATTTGCATAATCAGAATTGAAATGCCACTGTCTTTTTGCACCCAACTGGTGATTTTAGATATATCCTGAGAAATACTGAATGAATGCATCCATTTCATGCAAAGTGGAACAAGGCAGACTGGTTCAAGCTCATGCCTGAAGTTAGATAATAAGACAGCATCAGTTTCTATGGTGGCCTACAAGGAAGTATCTTTGTGTAGCAAACAGAGCATCCCAATCCCAACGTCATAAACTAAGTTTGAGTCCAATGCTGTCTCCATAATCTCCACATCGGAGACACTGTCTGCGGCGTTTCTCAGCAGCAGTGACCTGCAACTGCTGCAGTACCTGGTGAACTTGACAGCGGTCCTTGTGCTAAGCTTTGGTAAGTGCATGGAGCCAAATGCGATGCAGCATTGCCCCTGGCAACATTAGCCAATGGGACAGCAGTGGGGCCCTTGCAAATAATACTCAAGCCAAGAGAATAGGTCCAGGAGCATTTTTGTTTCACCTGTCATGCCTGCACATGAATTTGTTCGAATCGCGGCTGCACCTTGCATGGCTTTTTCACCTGGGGGTGCCAGCGTCAACGACAAAGCGTTGGCCTGAGCTGCACAAGGGTTTTCTGTCTCACAGTACTGCAGACGCCATGATCTTTGTTGTTGGCACGTCAGGAAAAAGACACTGATGGATGGAAGTCCTCCCTATGGACAACGCTGTTCAGGTGTAAAATGCACGGTTCCATAGTTTAGTCCACACTTACAGTCAATATTTTCATATCCAGTGACAATCTATACCGCAGCAGAACACGCATCGCGCATCAGCGGGCCTTTTCATGGTCTGTGCATACGTGTGGATGCAGCTCAGGAACAGGTATGGCGGCGAGACATCGAAGGCTTCAGTAGACGTCTGGGTGAAGAACCCCGAAGACAGGGTCGTCTACAGAAAGGCCAACACCAAAGAGGACAACTTCTACATCCATGCGAAGGGCGGAATTGGCCCGTGGCAGCTTTGCTTCAGGGTCAATCAGCGGGACAGTGCCCATCAACATGCGCTGACGGTCGAGCTCACCTTCTTTACCATTAACCTACGCGTTCTGGTGGGCACTGACCACGAATGGGTGAAAGGAGCTCCTACAATAGATCCGAGCACTGTGGTGCGTACTGGTCTGCATCCGATGATGAAAATGCCACAGAGGTGGAGACGATCCCACTATAGGGCCCGCTTTGTAATGTAGTTTAGACGAAGGTCGAAATTGAATGCAAAGAAGATTTATGTGCCAGTGGTGCACATTTTCACGCGAGCGACCAAGTTGTGGCCAATAAGGAGCTGCTGGTGGCAGATGTAAGTACAGCCCACATCATGCAGTTCCTTCAGGTGTGCCAGCTGCCAGTCAACCTGGTTTTGGATACCCTTTCCGTTCAAGCCAAAATTTAGCCAATTTTATTCCAAGCCAATTTCGCAAGCCAAATACCGCTCTATCTTTGTGCTCTTGCTGCGCTCGTCGCCACATGGACATGCATTGCCCTTGCGGGCTCCGGTTTACAGCTGTCATTTTCTGTGGCCTGTGAATCAATTCCTGGCAAGTTTCAAAAACTCATCCCAACCAGGAGCAATCATTGCGCTCATCTGTTGCAAATGGCTCATGGCACCAAGGTGCGAAAAGAACCTGCTGGATTGTTCTGAGCGCTGGGTGCGTTGGCTTCTGAAATGTGAATCCAGTTGCGTATCGTTGAAATGCAATGCCGCTGCCCAACTTGCATTGATTTTGTGTGCGCCTGCTACTTTTGGTGCATGCAGGGCTTGGACATCGACACTTTGGATTTGCCTACAGACAGCGACATAACGCACCTCAAGAAGGCGCTACAGCAACTGGATACTCATCTCGTTCAGATTACACACGAACAGCGGTACCTGCAGCAAAGGGCGGACCGTCACATGAAGACGGTCAAGAGCACCCACTTTCGCACCTTGGCATGGTCCTTTGCCCAAGCGGTAGCTATTGCTGGGGCTAGTTTAGCGCAGGTGTTGACTGTGCAGTACCTGTTCAAGAGCAGTCGCAAGACATACTCAGTGTAGTGTGGCCTGTTCTTTGCGACTTCTGTAATTGTGTTAGTTGACGGGGGATACAAGCTGGTGCAAAGCAAAGAAAGCATGTGGGGTTACATTCCTTTGGAGGCTGGTGTGCTTCGCCTTGAAACTCTGCTGCTGCCCTTTGCCTGTGAAAATGGCAGTGGTGAGCTCCATTGCGGGTAAGCAGGATGTGGCGGTCACCGACCAAAGGACAATCCTTGAGCAGGTATGGTATTTTGGTTGGGTTGAGTTCCGAGAACATGGCGGCGATACTTGGCGGCGACGTTTGATCGACCACAGACGCTGGTGATCGTCCATATGCAGATTGTGATGCCCACAGTTCCTGACCGATAGTACTTCCTTGACAGGACCATTGTTGCGCCTTCTGCGCCTGGAGGCAGTGCCATAAATGCCCCGCGCGATTATCAGAACTTTTGCATCGCATTTCAGCAGTTTTCAGGATATTGCGAGTTGATCCCCCTCACGAGACTCTTGCTGTGAAGTCGACCACTGTATGCCCTTGTGAGGGTGTTCGTGTGCACGCCGCACATCAACAGCATAGCAGTGCATTGGAACGTCGGCTAGTGCAAAAACGGGGCCGTGCATGTTCGACCATTGCTGGTACCACTGATGAGGATAGGCAGGGTCGAGTGGCGGACGCTGACTGGGGACCGTAAGCTCGAGTACACGGCAACAGTTTACAGCGGAGCAAAGGGACAACAGGAATTCTGCCCCTATCCGGTCCGTTCATCAGTGTCCCTAATTCGATTCCCAATGTATCATGACAACTCAATGCGTGCAGCTGTTAACAATAATCGATCAGCCCTTATTACACCACCGCAACGTGAGAAACGGGGCGCGAATCAATGCAAACACGAAGTGCAGATTGTCATTGGGCGGCAGTCGACCAAGATTCCATGCACATTGCATGGCCAATCAAAATCACGGCGCCCGTACTTCGGGTCAAATTCAATTGCCAGAAATCGTGACAGGGTCTGCCTTGCAAACACTCCAGAATAGTTCATGCTGAAACACCAGAAAGTGTTCCCTAAATCCAGCTGCGTACCGCTGATCGTGCCATGAGCCAGGCTGGAATGCAGCGGTGCCCTCCACCTAGCTGGTTCAGGAAATTTGTACCCGCTGCTAAACGGCGTCGCCATCCCTCAATCGAGGTGCTGCACGATGATTGACGTCAATCTCTGACCTGTGCTGTTGGTGAAGTGAGCCGTTGCCTGACTGCAGATTAGTTGGCTGTGATGAATGATGACCGACGTAGAATTTAGGCTGCGAAGGGCTGAGCTGGTTGGTGTAGGCATTTTGGCTTCAATGATAAGCCTTGTTTGTTCACTAACACTGAATTGAGGTCCCTCGCTTTCGCAGCACTTGTGCGAAGAAGTGGAAGGCCTGGGTACTCACATTAGTGAGGCAGCAGCAGCAGCAGCTCATCAGCCCTAATGGGCAGCTGCACATGGAGGATGCTTTAGCCAGGTGAGTCACTTTCTGAGTGGCGTTATGTACCAGCAAAATGAAGGGCAAACTTGAAGTATGGGGACCTCGGGTACAATGCCTCGGTTGTTGTGAAGTTGTAAGTGTTTTGTCATGGGGGAGTACATGACTGGGTGGGCTCAGGAGACCGGTAAGGCAGAAACAGCGTCTTGCCGCCACTGCGCTGCCATTGCAGGCGAATCAACCCAAAACTGCCTGAGAGCAGGCTCAATTTCTATAAGAGCATCTTTATCGGTCGGCACTATTGTTCCGGCGGAGCTATTCAGGAACGGTTCTCATTGGCTGCCGTCCCACCTTACTAAGGTGGCATTTGCCAAATAGCGCCGGTGCTATTGGGGAGCAATAGCACCAGGCGTGCATCTGTAACGGTGGATGCCTTAGGGAGCAATAGCACCCCGTGTGCATCCGTAACGGGGGGTGCTATTTGCAAGGAAACTCTCACACGCCCTCAGCTACACAAACCCACACAGCCTTGCTGTCCTAGCAAACACAAACACCCTTGCTGCTCGCCGACCCATGACAGTCGCCAAGCGTTGACCAAGTGTTGACCTGAGCCGTGAGCCATCTACACTCGGCGAACAAAGAGAATGGGGCGTGGCGACAAGTGGATCCCGGCCGACGATCACCCGGATCCACCCTTCGAGATCCACGTCAAAGCCGTTCCCATCCATGGTTCGGTTGTCTCAAGGCCCCTCCGCAGCCCCAAGGCCCCTCCGCGTTGTTCCAAGCGGCCGCCGCCAAGTGCTGCGCAAACAGCACCGGTGCTATTCTGGGGAGCTATTCGGTCTCGAGCGGAGCTATTCTGGCCCCGAATAGCTCCAGGGGAGCTATTGGGGAGTTATTGCTCCCCAACCGTTAATGATGGTTTTTTAACGTGCGGAGCTATTCGGATAGCCGAATAGCTCCGCCGGAACAATAGCGCCGACCGATAAAGATGCTCTAATGTCAGGTATGACTGCAGAGGCGTCCCATCCTGACCGCCCATGTTCAAGAACTGCCAGAATTCGCTTGCCACCACCAGTTTCTGCCGGTCGCTACCCTCGCAATACGTGCAGCGCTGGCCGCATGGCTGATGGGAGATGGGCCAACTTGCAGACATTCCCAATCGTGCCCCAGCGCATGGATTAAGACACGCTCTGGCGAGCCATCAAACTGGCACAAGAACCTAGTCTATACGGTTTATATGGTCTATACAGTTTTGAAGCACAGCGACGACAACGAACGCAAAGAGGCAGGGGCCCGTTCAAAACAGGTTGTCTGAGGCGTATTTGAAAAATTCCCTGACGAGGAAAAAACATCCAGCCGCTTGCGGTGTCCTGTGCTACAACCCAGGCGACCTGGGCGGCAAGCCTGGGCTGTGCAAACTACCCTGCGACTGTTCCGAACCCAGAGGAGACGTGTCCATCGGCATGCCCCTTGGGGACGCCACCAACAGCTGGCCCAACTGGCTCCCACTACCCCTACGACTGTGGGACTTTCTGACCAGCCGCAAAGGCTCCTGGGAGAAGGACGCCGAGGCCGATGCTGTCCTCCTGGGCCCTGGCAGGTCCAGCCACGAACGCCTGCGCTGGTGCCCTTCGCTGAAAACCTCTGGGATCGTTCCAAGACTGCGTTGACCAGGGAGCCCCCTCCTAAAAGCAGAACCTGCCCCTGCGGCTTGTTCCCCATTTGTCACGGCACCAGCTGCTCCAGGACTGTGCTCGTGTCCCAAGGAGCTGCTTGCGGCAGGCTCCCTTTCAGGGGCGACCGGCACATCTTCGCACTGCGGTGCGGGAGAGAGCAGCCGCAACTGGAGAGAAGAGTCCGGGCTGGCCACCGGATCAAACGAAATGGCAGTGAACTCCGTGAAGGTATTTCCCCGTCCCGACAAGGCGCTGTCCGAATCGTTGGAGGCAGCAAGCTCCTCGACTGTTTCAAGATTAGTGTTTACAAAGTGAGACTTCCCTCCAGTGGTTGGTTCGTCGACGTTCTTGTGCAGTTGCCGCAAACCAACGCCCGCCAAACTTCTATTGGCGGTGGCATTGTTGCCCAGAAATGTGTCACGTGCAGGTGCATCTGCGCCATGCACGGCGGCTGCTGTGCTGGTGAAGTGTTGAGGGCTGCCGGGCTTCACAGCCTGTGCTGCACAATGCACAAAGGTAGAACATATGTCAGCAGACACAGGCAGCCCAGCAGTTGCACTAGAGCTCTCGCCAAAAAACGTTGCAGGTGGGAAATCAAGAGCGCGTCAGCGTGCCGTGCAAAGACACAGGTTGCACAAGGGGATGCACCATGGGTGCAGCAGCCTGGCAAGGCCTGCCACTACGCTAACTAAGTCCATGCAAAAATGCACACAACAAAAGGTCCAAGAAGCTGTAACAAAGGCTTGCAAGAAAGCACGCCTGGTACAGGCAAGCGATAAGGCCATGGATGCACGAGTGATAAACTTTCATCCATTTACCGAAAACACGAACAAACGACCAATCAACAAAGTGGCAACACTCGCAGACACTGACCCAATTCCAGCGAAGTTATTGCTTCAGCACCACACACCTATGCAGCATGTGCCCACAAAGCAGCACAGGCGCATTCTGCAATGCCAATAGAGCGCTTGGCAAGCCTTCAACGCACCAATGTCATTTCTACCCAAAAGAGCGACAGAAAGCAGCAGGTGCGACACAGCAGATCTCATCGCACAGAAAACACCACTTCAATATCATTCGCCACCATGCAGGGTATCTGCGTGGTGTGGATAGTTGCATGCCTGTGTAGGTGCAAGTATATACTTCCTCTGTCCCATACTATGTCTTTCTATTTGAAAGACAAAGTTAGGCTCAAAGACGTCCTTCAAATTACAGAAGGAGGTCATTATCGGAAGATTGGGACCCAGAGCCCTTGACTACCAATCTCCAAGAAGAAAATGCGAGATCCGACCCGTTTGAGCAATGAGCAAGAGGTAAATTTTGGACTTTTCTGAGCAAAAATTCGAGGTTCATTAGGCAAAAGGCCCTTGCTATGAACTGATGCCAAATCCGCAATTATCAACGGATTCATTTGATATTTTGACCGCATACTCGAAACGTACCAGCACAGCTTTGGACGAAATTGCATTAAAAAATACAGTCATTATGATGGAGAAACAATGAGCCAAATCCACATACTATGAAATTCAGTGTGGGACAGAGCAAGTGCAATATAAACCCGATAAGACTGCATTCCGGTTTTTGCAACCAGGCAATGGCCGTGTGAACACTGCACCTTGCTACGGCCGCAGTTGACAAGTAACTGCTCTTTGGTACACTGCAGCCAATTCTTTCTGTGCTATTAGGATTGCCATGGCATTGAATCGATGGAGAGTTGTGCACAATCTTGGAAACGAAAGGCAGCCACAGTGACTCGAACCCTTGGTGGCATTACCGCATACCCACCACCGCCACAGCATCATCGTCAGATTCAGTGTCCGCACTCAGTAGCCCATCTTCATCACCACTCGAAGCCCTCATGTTGTCTTCTGCTCTAATGGTGGCCAGCGGGAAACTTGTCACTGTGCGCTCGCCACCCTCTGCACTGACTCTCATGAGCACAGGCTCGGTCTTGAACGAGCCTTTCTTGCTCTGGTAGCGGAACAGACGCGGCCGAAGCTCTTGCACAGCGGTAGTGTGCGTATTGTAGGTGCTCACAGCAGCATCCAGCACCTAAAAGGACAAGGAGCAGCTTCAGCTCATCGGAATCTTGATTGCCGGACGAGCGATAGAAATCTTGACTGTTGTGAGAAAGTGACAGGTGGCAAGCAGGCGGAAGTGTGCCAGTGTGAGCGATTCGTCAAGCATGGCTGACAAGACGTGATTGGAATGCGGGCCTTGATGTTGTGGGACTGTGTAGCGGGTTCAGCACAGCCCCTCACTTAGTGCATCGTGCTAAGTCGCTGTGCAACATTCCTTGATGGCTTGATTCACCGCACTCTAGCAAGGCAACCAGACTGAGGGTCTCATCCAAGCAACAGCAATCAGATAGGGAGGTAGGAGGCAGCCTGCTGGCAGTGAAGACAATACATGACTAGTCATTCTCCGCAACTTATGATCCACACAAGTGTTCAGATGCCAGCCATCGCCCGGAAGGTGCAAAGATAGAGCTTTGATATTTTCGACTAAGGCAGTCAATGGAATGCAATACAGGTATTTAGAAGCAACCCTGTTCCATCAGAAGAAGTGTGAGCCTTTCGACACCTTGAGTATTTTTAAGCATGCAAGCCATCGTGTGCTGTGATGCTCTGCACTCTGAAATGCACCAATTCGGCAGCACAGTTCTGCGCCACACCCAGGTCATCTTCCCAATTGCGACCCAGCGACCCGAGTTAGGTGGAAGGGCAGTGTTGCACCACATTTTACCAAAAAATGTAGTGATGTGGATAACAAATCATGCCTTCATAGTGCCTCAGTGACCCTTCTCTATCTCCGGCGTTGTGCACCAGGGGGCAACTCTGGAGACCTGTTCTCCTTGATTTTGTTGCTTTGATGCTCTATGGCGACTCACTTTAGCCGGCCATATTTTGGCCCCACCATTCAACATTGCATTTAGTCAGATGTGGTACAGTGGGATTCGCAATGCCTCATTGGCTGCAACGAGTGCCAAAAGCAGCTGGGCAACTCGATCCACTGGCATTTGCCACCTGGATCCATCAGGGCGATCCACATTGAGGAATGCAATTTTTGACTGTTTGACTGTTTGGCGATTGGTGCACTGCACCATGTTGTGTGCACAATGTTGTGGGTTGATATTCATTGCAATGAACCTGACAACTGAGTGCCATGTCACCAGTGTACGCAACAAAAATTCGTGACAAATGTCCATGTCCGAATGTTAATGCCTGTCGGGGGCCAATGTTCCCTTAAAACCAGCATGATGCTGTGGGTGTGTTCTTGATCATTCCAAATCTTCTCAGTTCACAAGCCTGTGCAGTCCTCCACACAAACCACCCCGCTCCATGTATCGCATCGTCTCTGTTCCCAAAGCGACAGTGCCAACCTTCACAGAGCAGAACCTTCTAACAAAAGTTCCAGTGGCCAAACGGGTTAATATCGCTGTTCTCGATACTACACACGCCCCGCACAAGCGGCTGTCAATTGTTTAGTCCTGTCTTGTGATATGGCACTGACTGCCAATCATAGTAGGGTACCTGGCAGCATCACAAGCAGGACACGTTTGCAGCACAAGGCAGGAGGAAAATCTGGTGCTGGCTACTTGAGTTTTGCGAGAGGCCAGCATGTTCCATGATGCAGCAAGACACTGGCTATTTTTCTGTGCCTTCCCTTTGCATCCCAAGAAAGAAAGGAGAGGGGGAAGGGGGAGGTCTTTTCATTTCGATCTTCTTTCAGGGCAAGGTGAACACTCCTGAATTTCTTCAGTGGATAATATTCCCAGCTGTTGGCATGTTAGGAATCTGCCAGCTCGGGCACTTGCAATGCTGCTAAGCAGAAAACCTCAAAGCAATCTGAAGGTCAGCAACAGCCTCGATTTCGAAAACCACAAGTGACACATTGCGATTTGATACGATTTCCTATCTGCCCCCCTCAACTAGAGACCATCTCTTTCTGAGTTTGTGCATTCATGGACATGCAATGTCTTTGGCCTTGCATCGCCTTGCACTTTCTCAAGAAGTGGCGCAAAACCCGCATCTCCTCTGCTGGGTTTGTGCGGCACCTGGACTCTGCTTGCAGCGACAATATGAAATCAAAAAATTATCTGCGAATATCAAAACAAGTGCTGGAACAGACAAGCAAAGAACATGGGAATGGCCCCCCCGATATGCCAGTCCAGTCACACACCTCATCAGTCACTGTTATAAACTTGACCACTCCTGACTCCCTGAAATTGAAGTCTTCGTTCTTTCGTGGACATTGGAGCACCACGATGCGGTCGCCACGCTTTATCCACTGCTTGTTCGTTGCCTGGACAGCAAAGCAGTGCAGCTTTTGCACAGCTCTTCAAAATATCCCGGCAACTCATAACGGATTCAATGTACTAAGTGCACGGTCTACGTAACTTGCCATGAGCAGAAACAAGTCCACAAGGAACTCTCAACCTGTTATGTATACCCTGTTGCAGCCGTGCTATTGCTCCACACACCAAATCAGCCATTGTCGATTTGCTCAGATTATGGCAAAGGAACATCGCAGGGTTGGCAAAAGGGCAACACTCGTTATCTGGCCATCCATGCCATAAAAGCAACTTGGGCATCCAGCCACAATAGTTGAAAGTATGGGAGAGCCAACTATACATACAGTCAACTGGAAAATTGCAACAGTTCCAAGGAGCCATGCATGTGCAATGCTGTCTTGCCGTCAACCATACTGCCGAGAGGGTGAACAACAAATATCAATGCATTGCCATTCCAACCTAGTCCAAAGATGTTGCCATAAAAAAACACAATCAAAAACAAATACAACAACTCACAGTAAATGCACAACAATACACAAAAAGAAAGCCACCAACTGGCACCCTGTCCATTGGAGGGGGTTAAGATAGTGACACTATCCAAAATCATAGAATCCCAATCCCCAAAGCCCCCACCCTTGAGGCCAGATGCCTACGTGTGCGATGGCTCTGCTCAGCATGGATCCCTCCATGCTTTCTGCTTCTGTTGTGCCACCCAGACTGGGATCGGCCAGCAATGGGAAAACACCTCGGCTGATCATGATCTGGTGGGCCTCAGCCTCCCCTGTGAATGTCCATTTCAGGGCATCCGTGTGAAGCCGAGGGAAGACCACCGAGAGTATGGGCATTGGTGGCCTGTACTTGGCCAACGTCTTGGCTGTTCGGCCAGTGATGGTGAAGGCGATGATCAATGCAGCATTCAGCTTGACTGCCCCTCGCACAGCTGATGATGCCAAGCTCTCCAGCTGCACATTGTTAGTTTGTTGTGCACTGTTAGATTCAGATTTTGTCTCAGCACTGACATTCAGCAGTGACACACAAAATGGCCAATATGCTGTGCGTAAGACAAGTTCAGTCAATTTCCTGCTGCATGGCACAAGCAACAGTTCAAGTGAGACAAGAAACCATGACAAAAATATGCCTGCAGCTAGGGCTATACTGCCTCCAGGGAGCAAACAGGTGGAATAGATGGCAGATTGCTGGGGTCCTCGCTCAGCAAGTATTCTGGTCGCACACAGGTGTCCACAAATGTGGGGGCGGTTGAAGGCAGCGATATCCAGGCATGGAATTATTGGTACACTTGCGTATATAGGTGGCAAAATATTCATATCCTGGCACAACAGGCAATGCAGAGCGTGAAAGATCTGCCAGCATCATGCCAAGCTGGACAGCCATATTCTCTGAAGCTTGGATAGTAGGGCTTTGGGGAGTGATACAAGATAAATGGCTCCGACTCGCTCATGCAACCTATCATTCTGTTTATATATGTTTTAGGCAAACTTTGGAGTGCAGGATTAATGGCGATTGCTTTTGTCTTGTTGACAGCAAGGAATGCCAGCTCGCTCTAATCTCTGCTGCGTGTAGGTGCTCAATCTCCTCTGCGATAATGCTTACACGTGATGCAGACCACCTGGGCTGTGTGTCTTGTTTCCAGAGGGGACGGAAACAGCCCTGGACTGATGGCAACTGTTGAGGAGGACCTCAGTGGAGGTGGGCTTGTCGCTCCACATGGCATTTCTTACAATTTGTGACAGGTGGAGACCTGTGGATGCAGAGCTCTTAGGTGGCTGGACCTCATTGATGTGGCATGCCTCCACACAGTGCTTTACCATTTGTGACCATTCAGCACACCTTGGGATTCGCTGGAGTGGGCACCTTGTCCAACATGAGGTGATTTCTAGTATGTGGCTGCAGAAGGGTGATACAGGAGAGGGAGGTACAGGAGCAAAGGAGGTGGGAGCCTGGGGGACTTTTCATCATGAGCCACAAAGAGGGGCGGGGGCGACTGGGTGTGCCCGTTACACAACAGGGATCTTGACTGGGGAGGTTCTCTCAATATTGTGAGCTTCATGGGTCTGCTGAGGTTGGAATGAGGCATCTGTGTCTGTCAAGGATACACAAAGACAAGCACCTCGGATTCCTGATGAAACATCTGGTTCCCTTCTTTTTGGGTGGTGCAGCTCAGTAGGAGCATTTTATTCAGGCACATACACATGTCCTGTCTATGCGGAGTTTCTGCTTGGAGTAAGTGGGGAATGTGCAGTGCAATATGCCGGTTTCTGGACACTGCCCAGGTACATTTTCTGGTATTGCGCATTTTCAGGCACACCACAACTGGTGACAAACTCATTTCTATCACAATCATATACGTAGAAAGGAATCCTCTCTTAAAAGGGAATGGAAGAACAGTAACAAAACAAAGAAGGATGGTGCCATCACAAGCATGCAACACATCCTTGCTCCTGCTCGTGAGTCCGCAAGAGTCCCATGCCTCTCCTTTCAGGGAGGGGCCTAACCTTGACTTCTGCATTGATGACATTGGATTTGAATTTGAATTTTAGAATCTAAGAAGCACACAACGAAAGTGGTCATGCCCACCGTGGTTCCCGTCCATTCTCCTTCCTGCCCTGTTGTATCCTCCACCAGTGACTGGTAGAAGGCCTCACTGTCATAGGCCTTCTCTGCTTGCCTGCATATGGCAGCTGTTGTCTTAACTGTCTCCACTGGGTAGTGCCCTCGGAAAGTCTCAGCACCCAACAGGATGCAATCTGTGCCATCCAGCACAAGGTTGGCAACGTCTGTTGCTTCCGCCCGCGTTGGCCGAGGAGTGTCCGTCATTGTGTCAAGGACACGAGTCACAATCACTGGTTTGCCAACCTGATTGCACTCCTGCCACACATGTATGAGGCTCAATATTGGCGTGATCAGAAGCCAAAAGCACAAAGCTGGATAGGCAAGCAGCAAACGACATTGTCATACAGGCGTAGAGCCAGTGGTCTGGCATACATTGAAAATTAGTCGATGCACACTTGCTCGCCCACCACAACAATACCAGATAAGCATGAGAGCTTTCAGTGTGGCGATCACAAATGTGACGTGGGATGGCATAAATTACATAATGCTGCAGTATCAGAAACATAGCCTTTTATTGCAGCATTCCATCGAACTCTACAGATATCACCCTCCTGAGTGCAAAAATCAAAAGCAGTTCTGTTGATGTGGACCGCATTTTCTTTCTCCGGTGAAAGGGGAGACACATACCTTGCATGCACCTAGGTCAGCATAATATACAACAGCAAATCACAACCAGTGCCAAAAAATGGATGCCTGCAAATTGTCTCAGCCACTATTCAGGGTATTTACCTGCAGTACCATTTTTTGAATCCGGCACATCTTTTCAGCATCAATTTCAACCCCCAAATGTCCTCTTGAAAACAAGATCCCATCCGCCTCCGGGAGAATATCTGAGAGATTAGAAAGACCGAGTCTTGTCTCAATTTTAGCAAGAATTTTGGTGCTCTTCAGCCCACAGCTGCATCGCATCAACCAGCACAATCAGCAACATTGAGCCACATCATTCAGATGTGCATACGGAATAATTGCAGTGGTTTCAGACATAGTTGGATCTTCTGTGGACACTGACATTAGCCACACTGCCAAATCATGAACTGCATAAGATAACCAACACCACCATCGAAGGTCCACAGACTAGCACCACATATCCTGGCAATGTGACCACAGGCATGCTGCAATTAGGGCCCCATCACCAGGTGTAACAAGACTGCACTCTCAATTTGATAGTCTCAACACAATCAGGAAACCAACTTTGACAGCCTCAACCCGGAATTCTGTGCCACTTGACTGGATTGCATCAATACAGGTCCAGTCCACCTGTGGCGAGTTGAAATCTAGCAATCTTCACACTCTGTGGACATCTGATGTCCACGCACCTGTCCAACAGCTTCCTGCACGTCTTCACATCTTCTGCCCCTCGGCAGAAAGACAGAGACAGAAAATCGATCTTGTTCTGGACTCCCCAAGTTTTGATGACATCCACATCGCTGTCAGACAGGATAGGACCCTTTGAGGGTGTGCCCATGAAGTGAATGGTGAGTCGAAGTCCCTCCAATATGGCTGCATTGTTGCAAGTGCACTCAACAGTGTCCTTTGTCACCTGACCATGCAACATCCACCACATTTCATTGACGCGAATCAAAGCCCCGCAGATTCTCCAGTGATGTCCCTTCGAACAGAACTGAAAGCTTGAACACAACGGGCATCCCTCCTGAGAAAGATTCCTGGTAAAAACTGTCTGGCACTGCAGAAATGATGCTGAAACTTTCAGGTGCAACAGAAATCGCGCACAGTAAGAACAGCCAGAAAGTGCAGATTTTCCAATCACAAATATTGCTCCACTCTCACATTTGTATCAAGTGGGGTTCTTTACATAGCACTGTTATTTCAACACTCCATATGGCTGCAATTCATAGTGTCAAATCCATAATAAAATCACCATATTGATCGCAACAACTGTTGTGATAATTTCAGCCAATGTAATGATATCTGCTTCAACAGATAAGGCTAGTCATACCCAACTCCTATTCGCATCAGGCCCATCACACCTACTTTAACCTGCCAATTTCAGCGCACCTTGTTCACTGTAAGTAATGCAGAGGTTGTTTCGCTTCCTGAAGGCAGCAGCAGGAGTTAGAAAGCTAGCAGAAAGGCTCAACAAGCCATGAAAAGCAGGAAGCCGTGCTAGGAAATCCCAACCAGGCAGGTGCATCATTGCAGAGCGATTCTCCCAGAACTGATAACATCACACTTTACCTGTGGCAAGGTACTGCCCAATGAACACTGGAGCACCAGGCCGCACATCGAACCAATCAAAAGCAGGGCAAGAAATTGGCAGGATCTTGGCAGATGCCTGAGCAGATTGGTTGCAAGTCAAAGCCACCATCGCCCCCCTTTCAAGGTGAATGGGCTTTGTTCCCCTTTGGTCAATCACACAAACCAGTCAGGCCATGGACGACCGAGGGCACTGCAAACTATCCACAAAAGCGCCCTGGGAACAGACAGTTGTGGATGCGAACCTCGCCCAGGATCAACTAACAAGTGCAAGGTCATATGATGTGCCACATTTTGACGATGCCTTGTCAGTGGAATTATGGCGAAGGCAAGGAGCATGATGGAAACAAACGTCCATGCAGGCAGCAACGCAGTCAGGGGGAATTCCAAGTGCAAGTCGAAGGTGGGGTCCTGGTCCAAGAGCAACAGTGAATGGAGCAGAAGATCTAACACATTTCAGGCACCATACACTTTTCCTGATCATTGCAAGGGACACGGCAAGGCTTGTGGCACAAACACATCCTAGTCATTGTCATTGAGGCTTAAGGGCAATGCTTGGTCAATTTCTGACAACTGCCATGAAATGAAGGGCTTGTCCCTAGGCCTCAATTTCACAATGAGTGGCAACATCACATACAGCATGCATGTTTGGACCACTTCCAAGTTTGGGGATCTGTTCCCAATTCCTTTTCCCCAACCCGAATTAGCTTGTGGAAAGAGGGTGCAGCAACATCATGTCTACACTGCGATGATAAGCAAACTAAAATTAGAGATTGGGGACAAGGGTGCCATTAGTAAAACAGGCCAAGCCCCTGCATGCAAATTGATTGCAAAACATCTCTCCCTAAGAAAACCATGACAAATCTGTAAGCTGCAGGTGAACTGCTCTCCTAAAACACGTGGGCTGCAGTAGCCCTTTCTTCGACCAACCAGTTCAATGCCATTTTCTCCGAACGAATTGGAATGTACTAGGCGACAACCAAGTATTTGAGCAGACAGGCACATCTGCACAAGTGTCCTCTTTTATCAAGGGACCTGAGCAACCTACCTGTTCATGACCAGTATCTCGGGTCCTTGGGTGTCCATGATGACACCACACAGTTTCTTTGTGTGTCTCACAGCCTTGCGAAGGTTGTCAAGTGTTTCTTGGTGATGTTCCTGCAGATGGAACCCACGGAATCCAACATGAAATCAGATGGAACCCACGGAATCCAACATGAAGTTAGGGCGACTTTCGCACAGCAAAGCGGCTGCACAATTGGATGGCAAAAGAATCACCGAAGAACAAACTTACCTTGCTGCCCCAGCTGAAGTCGATCCTCGCAATCTATTGAGCAGCACACACTCCACTTTACTTTCTGGCAATTCACAAACCCTTGCTATCACATGACTGACTTGAACACGCCCAGCACGCCACCCTGAACTGTCAGTCCAAGTGCTCAAGATCAGACCCCCCGTATCCCGCTACTCACTGCCATGCCCTCGTTCAGCAGCTGCTCCAGAACTGGGACATCTCTGCTCTTGGGACCCAGGGTACAGGCGACCTTGGTCTTGGCCGGGTATTTGGTATCTTTGTCCACCTGCAGACGCACGTTGCGGAACCCATTGATTTCGCGACCATTTTGAGGATCAGGCAAAATGCCAGGTACCTTTGCCCCCACGGCTCCGTCACGGACGACACGAAGCACGGAATCCGGCATCGCGGATCCACCGGCCGACGACAATCCGGATTCAATCCATTTTGCAAAGAACAGCCAAAGCTGCAGCCCTCCCGGCGGCGATCAGCATGCCCACATCAATCTGGCGGCTGATCGGGCCGGCGATCAACCCCGCCACCCCCGCATTTCGAAAACCGCACAGGTCGAATTTTGGCCCGCCAAGAGACTCTCAGACGCGCATAGCTTGTGCACAACGCCTCCAGGGGGCGCTCCACGGCGCCCTACAGGTGTTTCCCCACTCCGGTGGAACGGCCCCGGGTCGAGTGGGGTCTCGCGAAACGGAAGCGCGCCAACCGCTCGCCGGTTGGGGCCCACCTCGAGGATGGATTGGAGGGAGTCCGGTGGGGCGAAGAAGCCGCGGACGCTCATCTTTGCCACCGGGACCGCTGTCGCTCAGGTCGCTTGTCTGTGAACACCGACGCCAGACACCAACACGAGGGAGGGCGGGGGAGGTTCTGTTGGGCGCGGATGCCGCTTACGCCTCCGTTTGTGTGTGGGTGCGGATGATAGGCCTTCGGTGTTTGCGTAGTAGCCGTGGCGTGAGGGAGGGGAGGGGGTTGGGTGGATCCGCGCGGATCCACGTGGATCCACGTCGAGGCACTTTGTTGAGAATATGTTCTGCTTTCGTCGTCCCGTTCTTCACGATTCCCGGTCCTTGCTTTTGGGCGTGGGGTATGGTTGTGGCGTTGCATAAGAATGAAGATAGTTGGGCTTGATTGGCAAAAGAAACAAAATATTAATCCACGGACGATCTTTGGGCTGATGCAGCAGTCACCTGGGCCACAGAATCTGCACAGCTTGGCAGAGAGAGCTCAGAGGATCTGATGCCCTAAGCCATTGTTGATGGCGGATTCGAGGGAGCTCTGAAAGGGCACATGCCCCAAGACGTCCACCAGCGCACAATCGCCTCACTCCTCGTTCAGTTAACGGCCAATGGCAGTGAAAAGTTTCTATCCTGATTGTCGATCCCTTGGCTTGGTGTGCATTCTCCCTCCCAGGAACGGTTCACCCAGCCTTCGACTGGAGCATAGGTTTGCGCAGATTTTTGCCTTCACGCTGGCACCCGTCGGTATCAGTCGCCGAAATCTACTTAGGCACGCCGGCTTGTCCACCATCAATCGCTCGCTGTCGAAGTTTCTCGTTGCCCAGTCCATCGGCATGGGATGCGGGCTGTTGAACTCCTCCCATCACGATTCCCTGCCGACGCACATCGCACCCTGTCACAGTTGCACGGTTGGCATTTGCAGTACTATCCACATATTCACCAGCGACTGACTGAACAGGTGACTAAACGGGTGGCGAGCGGCTAAAGTGAATGGATGCGGGACACAAAGCCCCCACCGCCTACAAGGTGCAAGGTCCCCATGGTCTTTCACAATTTCAAGCAAAAGATTAGTCGACTGGCCCAACAAGCCATGTGCCACCCAACAGAAGACACCGGCCACCTTAACGACTTGCACACACGGCAAACATTCCGATAACCCCCATGCCCTTATACAAGGACAGCAGGCCGCAGGTCTGCAGCCTACTGTGTACCATGAGCATGGTCACCGAGTGCACTGCACTGGCAGGGCACTCTGCGGGCGCCCGTGGAGTGCTCTGCCGGAGCAGAGGGCATGTGCCGGTGCACGCACGTCTCGTGCAGCCGGCAGTTTTGACAGGCTTGCGCAGCCATATGACATGTTGCCTACAGTGTGGAACTAGAGACGACAGCTACTAAAGGCACGGGACGCCACGTGGTTTCCCGTGGCCATGTGCACCTTCCGTCACACAGCGCAAGACGTTGCCCCCAGCATCGTAAATATGGAATTGGAGTGCGGCAACCGTACCGTGACAAAGCATGCTTCTCATAGTTTTCACGGTATGACTCAGCAGCCAGGCGGCTGCGTATGTACGTGGTCATGTTCATGGCGTCGCATGGTCATTTCAATACCATGGCCACATGGCCTTGGAACACACATCCCTGTGCATCAAAGCGCCATCAAGCAATTCTTGAGCCAAATCTGGTGCGAATATTATTTGGTCACGGAGTCCAACCGCCCGACCGGCTGCAGATAGACACTTGCAACGTGACGTGAGAGGAATTATGAAACAAATACATTATTGAACCAAACTGCCCATTTTGAAACCTTGACCTCTTGGCCTGATGTTGGATTCGGAATTAGCTTCTTTCTCTCCTTTTCGGTTCCTCCTAATTTTGACGGCAGGTAACGCCTCCCTGGGTGCTATTTTGACCTTTCTTATAAGAGGCACCGGCATTGGCAGAGCCAGCTTGACGGTCCAGACAACGGAACTGGAGCAAGGATATGGCACAGGAAGATCACACCTGGATGCAAATGGTGACACTAGTACTTGAAACTGTTTGGCAAATTTATGGGCATTGTCTCTCAACCTTTGTGCGAGATTTCCAACTCGGTAAAAAAATGGCAGTATTCTCATGTTGAAAATTAGAATACTAACACTGCTGTTTTCTAGGTAATGAAGTTCATTCCCCAGATACTGTTACCTTGCGTCCACGGCAGCGAAAACAACCGCACAGCGTCAGTTCAAGCGTGGAGGATCTCGATGCCCATCACGTCACAGGCTCCCACACTCTCCGGGGACAAAAGGCTCAATCACCGCTTACACGAGTGCACCGCATCTCACAATCGCCAGCCCCTCAGCAGCAGCTGAGCCTGCTTCCACAGAGCGGACCCTGCACGCACCGCACCCGGCTGGCTGGCTGAAACCCCGCTGTCGAGGGCGAGAGATGACGCAGAGCCCCGCCGGCGTGTGGCCCAGCGGGTCGTTCTCCACCAGTCCACCCCCCTCCAGCTGAGCTGTCCCCTTGCCTGTACGATTGCCTCAGCATTTGTGAACATGGCAACCCTTGTGAACAGTTGGCCCCGATCGCTGTCCACGGTCGGATCCACCTTTGTTTGGCACGCCTATTCAGGCTCTCCATGTGTCAGGACGTGATCATTTCGACGGCGGGGTGCCTCGCCTCGGCTGGGCTGCCCTTCCGCGCGTCTTTCCGTCCACTTTCGTGCACCTTCGAGGCTTAAGGAGGCCGTGGCCCTTCAAGGGTTGCGCCTGGGCCGTTTTGGTGGCTGGCGCTTCTGTCGTAAAGACATGCGCCCCTCGGCGACCGTAGTTCATGAGAGAAGGACCAGCTGGTCCTGCAGGGACGGGTTGTTGGGCACCCACCCAAGTGCCGAGTGTACCACAGCTTAGGACATGGAAGAAAGAGTCATCGAGCCCGGTGCTGTACTGGGCCTACTGCCTCCAGTGATCGGAGCAGTGGAATGTGCAGTCGAAAAGAGCCCAGCGCCGACTTCTGGAGTTGTGGTGCAGTGTGCCCATGTGCATAGTCTGGTCGATTTTCATGCATATGGTTTTGACGCCAACGCTTTGCGGTTCCCAGCCGTCCGTTTCGCGGGTGCTTCGGATGGGCGAGGGCTCTGGCCAGAGGGCCAGAGGTGCCCATGGGCGCCTGGGTCCTGGCAGATTTGCCGCGGCCAGTTGTAGGGCTGCAATGCCGCACGGTCGTCTGTGATGTCGCTTGGCGAACGCAACTGTCTCGCACGCAGGGTGGCTGTATCGGCATAATCCACGTTCGGAAACGGTATCCATCGTGTCCGTTTGCTTCATCGTGCCCTTGGAACCCAACCAACACTTTGGCCTCCAAAGACGTCCACATTCACCCTGCACCTTTCGTGCACCATTCGTGCCGACGGCACTGGAGATTGTAGCCTCAGTTGGCTGATGATTTAGGGAGGTTGACTTTTCGACGGGGACCGCTGCATTGATAAAGTCGTGGCAGGATTCTTCTCAGACGTGCTAAAGGACCCACTTGGTTCGCATCTGTCCAACATGTTTGTCCATGCCTCTGCACGGAGCCTCATGTTTACACCAGGCTCCACAGAGCGCGAAGGTTGAACTCTGGCGCTCTAGAAGCAAGCCCCAGATTGGGGTTTCTTGCATCGACACACTGTGGAGGTCACTCGTAGTGTTGTGCTTGTGACCATTCAGGAGTGTCAGTCCTGCATGGTTTGCAACTGAGCAGTTGCCATAAATTTGACACTTGTGTAGCTTCCTGTTTGTCCTTGCAGACTCGATGGGCTCTCCCAGCTGGCCATTGGATGGATCGGTTTTTGGGATCAGCTTGCTGCATTTGCTTGTGTGCTGCACAACGATGTCACAAATTGCTGGTGGCACCAATGAAGTTATGAGGACCCGCGATGGGGACAACATCTCCTGCACTCTGAAAATGGATGGACAGTGGCAACACAAGGCTTCAGTTCAAGCAGACTATCTTTCTAGGGTATGTAGGGAACCGTGCATCTTTTCAAAATGGTTTGATATTGCACCGTGAATTGGGATGCCCTGCCGGCTGGCACAGTCCTCTTTGTGGATACCTTTGTCACTCGACAAAACAGAGCCCTTTCACCAGGTCCATCAAGCCATGTGCAGGTCACTGGATGTGCTGTTGATGTGTCTGTGCGCAGATCTTGGTTGCTGCATTTGGTGACTAGTGTGTTATATCCACTGAGATCGAACAAGCCCTGGTATGCAGAACAAGGATATTGTGTGTGCAGAAGCTGGCATCGAATACTTGCAACAGGTTCTTACACCCTCACTTGATATAGCGCATAGAAATAGTTACAGTGTCATGCATGGCAGTGTCAGAGAGTGCAACATGGTCATGAAAATGTCGGATCAGGCACACTCTTGAATTCAGAAGATCTTGCCAGCTTATTTATGTTTCAGTTGGGTTCATTTCCTTGCAAGAATAGTCACTTGGTTGTGTGTGGACTTGTGCAGTGATAATCTGTGCCAGATAGTTTCCATAGAGGGCCTTGTGTCCGCTATCGTGCCTGTTGTACATTAAATTTCTCGTAGTTTTTGTGAGCTGTATGCACAGTGCACTGAACTGACGTCCTCATTACTGGTGTATTCCATGCGTATGTTGGATTTGTAAAAGCACTGCTGATGCAGCACCTGTGCTGCTGATCTGCAGGGAGGTGAAGAAGCCCCTCCACGGCGGTTTCCATACATGGTCAGCCTCAAGCCAACCTTTGGGGGGGATCATACTTGTGGAGGTGTCCTCATTGGTCCCCTCCATGTGCTGACAGCTGCACATTGTGAGAGGGATATTGGACGCAATCCCTTTGTTCAGATCGGCGGTCACTTTTCCCATGATAATGGCAGCAGTGATGGCGCAGAGGTGAAGAAAATGTCATTTGAGCCAATGACTGGCAGAAAATAACGTGTTTTTATACCAGGAAAACGAATGAAGAGTTGCTTGAGATATTCCTGAATATCACTCTTTGTTGATTGATTGTTTTCAACTTGTTCTGTCATATTGCCAGCTAGGCAGTGTTGTGTTGCATGGCTGTTGTGTCACATGCACTCAGCTATTTTGTTTGGTGTTGTTTCTGACAGTTAAGATAAAATGCTAGCACAAGCCTCTCAATGCACGTTTTGATTTACTCACAGGTAATGAGGGCAGCAAAGTGGATTCCACATCCTAAATGGAATGGTAAATTTCAAGATGGTTACGACATAGCACTGGTGGTACTTCAAAAGGAAGCCAGGGAAGCTGTGCCAATTCTGTTGCCAGATGGAGAATCAAGAATAGTGCCAAATACAAAAGTTCTTGGGCTAGGATGGGGTCTAAATTTCAAGTTTAGTGCTCCTGACAAGAGGTGGGAACAGACTTCCAACACCGCTCTCCAGGAAACTACATTGAAGGTTGTGGATAGCAAACGCTGCCCCCTAAAGCTGAAGAAGCACCTTCAAACGCGTATGGTGTGTGTGTATGACAAGAGTCAATGCCCGTGCAAAGGTATGAGGCAGAACAGTACATTTGTACACATTGCCACCAGCAACCATTGCTGGACAGAAGAGACCCACAGCATGGACTGTGGCTTGCAGTCTGAATGCCATGTTACGTGATGTGCAGTGACTAGGTGCCGCATAACTTGAATGGAGTGAAGGTCAAATCGATTTTTCAACATGTCATCTCCTGCTATGTCCAAGGGCTTTGCTGGGCATGTTTTTCTTACAGCTGTAGTCCAAAGAATTGCTTGCACTCAGCACTGCCACAGCAATTTTGAAATCCTAGTGTTGTCTTTGAGACAGATCCATGCATACAGCCAAGCATAGGGAGCTTTCTGTGTAGGTTTCTAATGTTCTGATGGAAACTGACAATTTCTTTGCACCTTAAGAGGTTGCTGTGGAGCAAAGGAACCCACAGACATGCTTGAAGTGTAGCTCTCTTCTATCCTTAGTGCAACTAATGCATTCAGAGTAATGTGCATATGTTGCTCATACCATTTGTTGAATTGTGCAACATTTGCCTATGGCTGCTTCATGCCCAACTTTTTGTGTACACAGGCGACTCTGGTGGACCTCTCATTGCACCCGATCGAAATGGCTGGAGAAACAACAGCGGATGGCCTGGAGAAGATCTGCTGTTGGGCATCGCATCAATAGGCAGTGGAGACTGCAGGCTGGCTGAATGTGCTGCACTGTACACAGAAGTGGCAGGCTTTCGCACATGGATTGACAATGCCATTACAAAGCCTAAAGTTGACGTTGCAGTGGTGCGTGCTATTGACGTGTTGAAGTACGCTTGCACAGGGGCCTTCCTTTGAACGAAGCACTTGTGTATTTTGTTCGCATTATAGCATATTGTACAGTCAAGAACTTTGGGGATGCTTGGTCGCAGCATACTGGCTGCCATTCTGTCCCCTGCGCCTTTGCATGCATATCATTGCGGAAGCTCATGGAAATAATCCATTGCTGATAAGGCACAGCATCCCTGACCACAGTGGATATTGGTGTTATTCTGCGCTGGGGAGCTATGCAGTGAAGAGAATTGATGGCGAGTGAGACTGGAAGTTCCACACCATGTCTCACAAATGTATCACTTAAATATGTTGTAGATTGTCTAACAGCAGTCCTGATCAGTTTATTAGGAGTATGCAGTGTGCTTGCAACTGATGCAAATTGCACATCACACAAGGTTGTATGACACAAGAGCTCGATGGTTCCAAGATCTATGGCATGTTGCCTGCTACACTTTCTTGCACAGCCATTTTATAGAGCAGCAGTGCACATAATGCGCTCTTTGGGCTGCTGACCAAAGTTCAGACCCACCAATCACTGCAGAAGGGCTTTAGGATCATTTGAGAGAAATTTGCCGGCATCACTGACCATCTTGTTGGTGTGCAATTTCCAGGCCCTGCGGCTACTCTGGGCCCTTTCTGCACTGGTCGCCACAGTTGCCATGTTCATGCTCTTTACATGCGCTGGGGTACGCTGGCTTCCTTGCTGCCGTTTTCTGCTGATTACAATTGCTGATCAATGAAAAAACTGACATTTCAAAATGTACTGTGCCCCAAAGTCAGTTTTGATTTCACAATCATCATGTTCACGTGGACTTGTCGATATGGGAACCTGCATGATTTTGTTTTGAATGTATTCTCCATATAGTGTGTATACTTGTGGCATAGCATGAGACTTTCAGGGGCAATCCCGCAGTTTGTGTATAATTCTCTTCACAATATTGCTGTTTGAGATTTGTGGTATGCTTGGCTCGGAATTTCGCCACAGTATTTCATTTTGCAGGGTCCCCGCGGGCCAAAGTATCATCAAGCACTGTTGAAGTACGCTGGTGTGCCTGGCATTCCTGAGTACTACGTAGGAAGGAAGGATGTTGAGGAGATTTTGGTGCAGCACCTGACAAAGCATACACCTAGGGGCCTACATCCCCATGTGGCTGTTGAAGGCATGGGCGGCATTGGAAAGACCACAATAGCCTGTGCCGTTGCTGGAAGCAGCAGCCTGTGCGAGTGCTACAAGGACTGCATATTGTGGCTGCATGCTGGTCCCCAAGGAGATGATGAAAACGAGCGCATTCGGTGGCTGGGAGACGTGTATGCTCGGTTGGATTGGATATTAGGCACCAATGTGCACAGGATTCTGGGCAGTGGCGACGTTGGTGGGTCACCAACTCAGGATTCTCTGATTGCAGCGATAAACCACTTGTTCACAAGGAAGAAGTGTCTGGTCATTGTGGATGATCTGCGATCAAGCTGCATCTGGGCTGTCGTAACAAAGTTCGATTGTGCTGTCATGGTCACAACACAGTTCAGGCACATTGTTGCCTCAGATCGTCGCTGCAGAAAAGTGGACATTCAAGCTTTATCGGTGCACGAATCTCATAGGTTGATCTGCCAAGCGTCTGGCTCTGGAACTGACTGTCCGCTTTTGCAGGATCTTGCAAACATGTTTGGTGGGCACCCATTGGCGTTAACCATTGGAGCAGCTCTTTGGAAGCAAACGGTGTCTGACAGCCATCCAAATGAGCGTGAGCGTGAGCTCAGTAGATTGTTGGATGGGTTGAGAGATCCTTATCGGAAGTCGCACATAAGCATTCCAACCGAGGCAATGTTACATCGAGAAAGCCGAGACAATCATGCGACCATCAGTGCTTGCCTCAGCATGGCTATCCGTCGATTGCCTCGGTCGGAGGAAGAGTCCTATATTGTGCTTTCCATTTTGCCCCATGGCCAGTGCGCTTCTGTGGAGATGATTCGGTCATTGTGGAACATCCAGGAATCAGATGTCTTAAGGCGGCTGCAGAACTTGGAGGCACTGTCACTGGTTCATCGTGACAACAGCCGGTGCAGTGCTGTGGGTTCATGCAGCTGGGGGTTACATGATATCCAATTGGACCACCTGAGGGCATTGTCAAAATTGGATGAGCATGAGACATTGATGGAAGCTGCAGAACAGAGACAAAGGGCGTTCCTTGCTGACATAGACAATTTCCAGACGATCCACAACGCAGTTGGCAAATGGAGATTGCTGCGCTTCTGGCGTGAAGTTGCCTCCTTTGGAAACATTTCAAGGGCATATCGAGAGTCTGCTCAAAGAAAGTGGCCGAATTTTGGTGAAGGACTTACCGACTGCAGTGGAGCAGAACCAAACGTGCACGAAATGAGCCATGTGCATCGCTGCGCTATGGAACTGATGAAACTGTTGCCAGAGGGGTTTCCAAAATTTTGGCAAACGCTCAGTGCGCTCGACCATTTGCATGGTGGCCGACACCCTAGCCAATCTGATTTAAGTACGCTCTTCACTCTGGTTCAGTTTCTGAGATTCATTGCAGAATATTGCACTGCTGGGGAGCTCGTGGTGAGGATGTTAGCATGGGTAAAACTAAATGGAAATCCACACGACTTCTGTGTGATAAAAATTGTGCAGGAGCTGGGATGCATATCCCACAGTGAGGGCCAAAACAAGCTGGCCGAAGGGTGTCTTCGAATGGTATTGGAAAGCGCGAAGAAGCAGCTGGTGGAGAACCACCCTGATATCGCCACTTCTTTGAACAATTTGGCGTCAGTTCTTAGAGCACAGGGAAACTATGAAGAAGCAGAGGCATTGTACAGAGAGGGACTGGAAATGAGGAAGGAACTTTTCGATGACGCCCACCCAGATGTCGCTGCTTCTCTGAATCATTTGGCACTGGTGCTTCGCAACCAAGGGAAATACGAGGAAGCAGTGGAACTTCACAGAGAAGGGCTGGAAATAAGGGAAAAGGTGCTGGGTGAAGTCCACCCAGATGTTGCTACATCTTTGAGCGGTTTAGCTACCGTGCTTGCAAACCAAGGAAAATATGGAGTGGCAGAGGCACTGTACAAAAGAGGTTTGGAAATGAGGAAAAGGGTTCTGGGTGAGGTCCATCCGGATGTGGTTGCTTCTTTGACGAATTTAGCATCGGTGCTCAGTAACCAGGGCAAATACGATGAGTCAGAGAGCGTTTGCAGGGATGGGCTGGCATTGGGGAGGGGGCTGGGTGCAGTCCACCCGTACGTTGCTGGTGCTTTGAACAACTTGGCACTGGTGCTCAACAACAAGGGGAAGTATGAAGAAGCAGAGAAATTGTACACCGAAGGGTTGGAAATGAGGCAGAAGCTGTTTGGCAAAGTCCACCCCTCTATTGCTGCCTCATTAAACTGTTTGGCATTGGTGCTTCGTAACCAGGGCAGGTATGACGAAGCAGAGAGACTTCTTAAACAAGGTTTGGAAATGAGGAAGGAGGTGTTTGGTGAAGAACATCCGCATGTTGCTGCTTCTTTAAACGATTTGGCATCTGTGCTGATATGCCAAGGAAAATACGAAGATGCAGAGAGGCTTTGCTGGGAAGGGTTGAAGATTAGAAAGCAAGTGCTGGGCGAAACCCACCCAGATGTCGCTGCCTCTCTGAACAATTTGGCATTGATTTTTAGTAGCAAGGGGAGGCTCGCAGACGCAGAGAGGCTTCACAAGGAAGGGCTGGAGCTGAAAAAGAAGGTGGTTGGGGATGAGCATCCAGATGTAGCCACGTCATTGAGTCATTTGGCATCGGTGCTGGGTAGGCAGGGGAAGTACAAAGAAGCAGAGGTCCTTCACAAGGAAGGGTTGCGAATGAGGAAGAAGGTGTTGGGCGAGGTCCACCCGGATGTTGCCGCGTCTTTGAATGATTTGGCATTGCTGTACAGTGACTGGGGGAGGTACCGCGATGCAGAGGAGCTTCATAGGAAGGGGCTTGATATGAAGAGAAGGGTGTTTGGTGAAGTCCACCCAGATGTTGCCATATCTGTGAACAATTTGGCCTGGGTGCTGAGAAACCAAGGGAAATACGATGAGGCCGAGAGGCTTCACAGAGAAGCGCTCAAAATGAGGAGGCAGGTCTTGGGTGAGGTCCACCCGGATATTGCCACGTCTTTGAATGGCTTGGCGTCGGTGCTAAATGACCTGGGAAAATACGAAGAAGCAGAAGTGCTGCACAGAGAAGGGCTGGACATGAAGAAACAAATGCTGGGTGAGGCGCACCCAAAAGTTGCCGCATCGCTGAATAATTTGGCACTGGTGCTTCTTCACCAGGGGAAGTTTGAAGAAGCTGAGGATCTTCATAGAGAAAGGCTGGAACTCAAAAAGAAAGTGTTGGGTGAGAAACACCCGACTGTGGCCACGTCGTTGCATAATTTGGCGTTGGCGCTTAGCTGTCAGGGGAAATTCAAAGATGCAGAGAAGCTTCACAGAGAAGCACTGGAATTGAGAAAAGAGGTACTCGGCAGGGGCCACCCGGATGTTTCTGCTTCTTTGATCAATGTAGCATGGGTGCTCGACAGGTTGGGCAGGTGCGAAGAGGCGCAAATGCTGCGCAGAGAAGGGATGGAACTCAAAGGGGTTGCATGAGGTCAACTTGGGATTGACCGCATTTTGATGAAGATAGGCATTTGGGGAGCATGATGTCGCAGGTGACTACTAAGGAGGAGAGCATTTACATACTGCACAAACGACAATATGTAAACCTTCAGGTTTGTGCTTTAGTGTGATAGCTGGCTCGCTTTTTGGCTTGTGTCCCTTGGGGGTGGGGTCAGTTGCCTCCTCCTGGGAAGGGGAGAGGTGAGGGACGTGGTTTCGACCTCTCCACATCACGAATTGCAATATCTGCGTATGTGCGACCGCAGAGGCAGCGCACTCTTGCCAATGATTTCCATATCATACAGGGGCCACTATGATGTCCTCCCTGTTTCATTGTGTTTTAGTCAACAAACAATCCCCCCAATTAGAAATTGATAGGATCTGGATTTCGCTTGTGTTGGACGTTAGATTGCAAGGAACAAATCGCGGGCGCCGCTTTGATCGGGCAAGTCAGGAGACAGATGGCTATCTGCTTGCCTTGCAATGTGCGGTTGTATGATTCTGAGAGGGCTGTCCAATACCTATCATTGCCGATAGGAAGTTTATGAAGGGGTCATGAAGGTAACGAAGGGGGCTAGGTACCTAAAATTCAAAATTCTAAAACAGCCTAAACCCGAAACTGACCTTCGTGGCCTTTGTGCCCTTCACGAGTTTATCAATTCATGATGTCATGACCTTCATCACCCTCATGACCTTCGTGACTTCATGTCCGGGAATGAAGGGTATCGGACATTTGGGGATTCTGACTATCCCCACAACCGAATTCGCTGGCAGCGCGTCGGCACCACTCATGCCACGTACACTCCACTGGACTGTGCGCGGCAAAGCTGCCCCGTAACATTGCTTTCAGTTCCATAGGAATCTCCTCATTGTAGAATTGTGCAGGTTGGTCGTGCCCGATTGTCAGCCAGCTATCAATTCCCCGACTCTATTTCGTCCTTCTCTGGTCTGCTGGGTGACAACACAGCAGCTGCCGGGCGCTCCCTTTCTCAAAAAACCGTGCGCTCTGATCAAACAAGAGCTTATGGACACTTTGACTTGCCAATCAGCAGTGGAAGATGGCGAAAGAGGTCGCGTCGATGAGCTCTGCACCTCAGTGTTGGAGTGTCTCCAGTGGAAGAGCGGCTTCACGCACAGTTTATGGCTCCCATTACACCACCGGATGGCGATTGAAGCATGTCGAAAATCTTCTTGCGGTGCAGTTCCAAAAAGTTGTTTGGACCGTTTAGCGCGGCCTTCTTTCCTACATTAGTCGTGGCGGCCACTCCAGGGATGACCCTGTGAATGGCAGTGTGACTAAGTTCTACCATAATGCATTGACTGGGAGTGGATGAATTTCTGCTTTGGGAGACGTGGTTGGGCGCTCAGGCTGCTTCGGGCGCTCTGGGTAGTACCGCCAGCCAGATGCGTTTCCTTTGAGTCGCCCTCCTTTGAAGTTGAACTGATTGGGCCACAAGCTGTGTTTGAACATGGGCCAAGGGATCTGTGGATTATAAGCACGAGTTCACAGGGAGCCCAGGATTTTGCGTTCTGATGGGCGCCCTGGCGGGTTTTTCTCGGTTGTCGGGCAGCCTGCCGGAGCCGATCGCTGCAGGCCATCTTGGTTGGCTCCAAGCCTCCCATCCCTTGGAGATTGAGTTTTGAGGAAGGAGAGAAGTACAGAGTATTTGGTTAGTCCTTTGACCTATGTCGAGAATCAAAGGGCAACCTGATGTTGACAGTCGTAGGCATTTGTGCGGAAGGGACAACCACGATAATGGTGCTTCATACGCCTGGCCTGTGGACGTGTCAGGCGGGGAGAGAATCCCGCCCGGCAGGAACAATCCGACGGTCTCCATAGCGTACCTGTGGCATATCAAATACAGTGCTGTCGACGGTGTCGGAACGGTGGGCCTCTTACAGGTTAGCCTTAGGTTGGGTTGGATTAGGCGCTAGGGTTGGGCCAGGGCTGGGTTGGGCCGGCTAGGTTAGGGGTTAGGTTAGGTAGTAGGTTAGCATCCCCACTGTATCGACGTAGATATGTACACAGCCCGCACCGCCCCAAAGCCCTCCCTGGCATCATCGCTGCGCGACTGCCTTTCGCAGCCTCGAAAGAGGGCCTTCCGGCGTGCCGCCTGCGGACCCCTCTTCCCAATGTTTCACGCGCAGCGAATACGACTCGCGGGTGAACACATTCAGCCCTGAGGGCCGCCTGTTCCAGGTCGAATACGCGATCGAAGCGATCGGCGCACGTCCATGCCGTGCGGAAGGTTCAGCGCGATGGGGCCGGGAGGGCGGCAACGAGCGTGCCTGGCGTCTGGAGCGAAATCCCCAGGCCTGCAGCTTTGATTCATTATCGGCGTCAGAACCGGCGAAGGCATCGTGCTGGCCGTTGAGAAGAGGATCACCTCTCCGCTGCTGGTGCGACACCCTGTCCGTGGTTCGGGCGCGGCTGACTGGACGGGTGTTGGCCTGTGTGCGACCTGGAGGGATGCCTGGTGGGCGGGGTGCTGTGCTTTGACGTGTTCAGCGCCTTTGATCGCGGCAGGGCAACGCGGATGGAGTGGATCTGCGCGGATCACTATCGGGCAATCGTGTTGTTCAATTTCAGATGTGAAGGTTGCCTTGCCGGCAGAAAGGAAACAGCATTGGCAATGACGGTCCCGCTCTTAAGCAAGAGTTTCGGTTCAGCCTCTTTGGTTCTGATCAAATTCCGATCTTGTAGGAGCCAAGCAGCGTTGAGAAGCTGATGGAGATCGACGAGCACATGGGGTGTGCCATGAGCGGTCTCACCGCGGATGCAAGGACGCTGATTGAGCACGCCAGAGTCGAAACACAGGTAAGGAGCTGATGGAAGTTACTGTCGAATTCCTGCCATCAACGGTGCCACTGTGTTAGTCAGAACTGTGGTGGCCCAGGCCATCCAAAGATATGGCGCATTTATGAAGTTCAGCCAGCTTGTCTCACGGCTCTTAATCCGCAAACCCTGCTGGTCATCCTGATCCCTCCATGATTTGCAAAAGAGGACTGTGAATGAGCAGTTTACTGCTTGCTAAACACAACACCAAGAAAGCCAGGAACGATGTGGCCTGCACCGCCCTTAAAATACCTTTCCATGCTTTGTCAGAGTGAGCGCTGGTAAATCGTC